CATAACTGATGTCCAGATCAATTTGGTGGTTGTTTTTAGTTGTGAATGACATGCTGTGATACCAGAATTGTCACCATCTAAACAATGCTACTTATTAATATTGTTTCATGTTCCCATGGATTTCATTTTGGTGATATAAATTTTAATTTGATATTTATTTGAAGTAAGAGAATTATTAGGAGGAAGATGGAATTCAGTATTTGTTAAAAGAGAAACAATTGCAATCTCCTCACCACGTTACAAGAGTGGTTGGAATGTTTGTAGTGTGATGGGTAGTAGAGTTACAGTATAAAGGAAGAAAAGACCTGTGAATTGACTCAGAACAAGATAGTTTAGCCAGGCACAGTGAGAATTCAAGAAGAGAGTTAAGAGCTTGCAGGAAAAAAGAAGGATTGTGGGAAGAAGGAAGGAATTTAAGATTTTCCATCCATCCATCTGTGTTAGACAGAAACATTGCCAGGAGGGGGAGGAGGAAATGGAGTGTGATCATGTTCACTCATGTTGACAAGTTCTATATCCATTGGTGTTTAACCATGTAAGGATTTATGGAATGCTGAATAAATGAATGAATGAATGAGGCATATTCACACTAATGTTCAGTTCATATGTGGTAGTTTATAATTTATCATCTGATTCATTGACCAGGAGCTGATCAGCTGCATTTAGTATCCAGTGTATAAGATGCAGTTGAAGGATCAAAAGCCTGTGCTAACATACGTAGAACACTGGTGAAAGCAGTTACAAATCATCATCAGGGTCTGGTGGTTAGCACTCATGCTCTATTTATGAGGTCCTGGATTTAAATCTCAACTGTCTCTGAGTATTTTTATGATTTTCTTCAGTCTCTGCTGTCAAATTCTGGTAGGGTATCTCAAATTAGGCCAAGATTGCTTTCATCCACTTCAAGTTCGTTATTTGTCCCACAATTTGATTCCCTATAAACTGAGCTATTGGAAGAATTGTTAAATAAACAATAAATAAATAAGCTATTGGAAACATTGTTAAATAAGCCATAAATATAATAATTAAAATAGAAGCATTGATTCCAGGTGATTCATTGTATATTAATTAGGACTGTTATGATATTTTACTTTGATACTTAAAAGCTAACAGGTAGCTCTGTTATTATCTTACAGCTTTGCCACAAGCTGTGACCTGAGCCGGGATGGCACACGCATTAGCTGTGAATGTCGTCCAGGGTATTATGGTGCACGTTGTCAGTCCTGTGCAGCAGGGTTCTATGGCCGTCCGGAAGTAGCAGGTGTGTTGTAAAAGGATGGCTCTTGTTGACACTGTTTGTTCCTTAGTCTGTTACTTTTTATACTTTCTTACGTTCTTATGTAGCTGATTTTATATAGATGCCAGAATGTGACAGCCATACTCGGTAGTTTGGCAGGACAGGGTGGTCTCAGGGAGAAATGTTAATTTAATTGCTTATGATAAATGGTTTAAAAAATATTAGCAGCCACTGAAAGCACCCCTTCTTTGCTCATGTTTTCTGTAATATAGGCTGTGCTGAGATAAGAGCAATGGCTGTAGGATATGGTGCCCTGTGGTCTGGTAGAAGTTCACCAGTGTTTCAGAGGAATATACTGCCTCTGTCTTCAGAGTCAACAGATAAGCCAAGCAAACAACCAACAAGAAGCAAGTAGAGCACTGCCTTTATTACAGTGACTGATTTTTTGGACATTATCCAGTGTCATAGTTTTTATTTAAAAATTATATTCCAGGGCCTGGGTTCTATCTTAATCCTGATGCAGAAAGCCTGTTCTTCTGGCTAGTTCACTTCTGAACTAACCCCATTTATTGGGCCTAACAGAGTGGGCTTCTTACCTCAGGATGGAGGCAGAGTCTAGTCTCTGAAACATTTTAAATAAAAATTAGGGCGATGAATAATGTTTTAAAATCAGTCATTTTATCAATATACCATCATCACAGGCTTTTGCTATCTTCTTGCTGGTCACCTAGTTTGCTCACTTTTTAACCTTGAAGATGAAGGCAGTACATCCATTGCAACATAAGTGAATGTCTACTGGACTGCATAACAACACATCATAATCAGTGTCATTTTAAACACAGTCCAACATTCTAATCCTTGTTACTCATATGTGAATGTTCACTGAAGGTGACTACTGTCGGCCGTGTGAATGCTCGGGAAACATCAACCCAGATGACCCAGGATCATGTGATTCTGTAACAGGAGAATGTCTCCGCTGCCTCAATAACACATTTGGGATGGCCTGTAACCTGTGTGCCCCTGGTTACTTCGGTGATGCTGTCCACCTCAAGGATTGCCAGAGTAAGGCAACTGTGAATGGTGTAGTGATTTCTGTGTAATCACTGTTTCAGCTACAGTGGGTTGTGTAGTAACCCCTGAGCAAATTGTTGTAGTGATGACTCTGTAGACTTGTATTCAGGAAGTTCTGGGTTTGAGTCTCGTCTTGGGCGCTGACTGTCCTTGAAGTTGTTTGTGGTTATGCTCAGTTCCTCCAGGTATATGCTGGAATTGTATCTCAGTTAGACCACTCAGCTTCCTTCCAAATCTTTTCCAATTCTTCAATCATTCTACCATTTGAAGCTGTATAGCCTAATCACTAACAACATGGTAAAAGAGCCTCCCCAAATATTTTCTTTGTAGAAGCATGTTAATACTGATTTTATTTGCAATAAAACTTGGGCAGTCAGCATCATTGTGGTTGAGATAAAAACCTGTGTTTGGATACATGCTCTGTCTCAGTCATCAGTGTCAGTATGCCATGAAAGTTTCACATTTGGTTTCTGCCTTTTATGCATGTTTTGTAATGGAGTAAAAGTGCTTACTAGATACATCTTCCATAGACATTATGCTTTTTGTGGCATTCCTTTGGCTATTATATTTGAATGTGTGAAATAATTGATTCTTAGGTACCAAACATTATGACCAAATGGTTGGCACTCGTGCTTCATGTTAATGAGGTCCCAAGGTCAATTTTTGGCCTGAAGAGCTACTCTGCTGAATGAAATTTGTGTAGTTTTCCTCAGTTATTCCAGGCAAATGGTGGGATAGTAGTTTGAATTAAGCACAGTCACCTGTTTCTAAATTCTTTCCAGTTTATTATTCATTAATCTTTCAACAATTCTACGCCATATAGTCTGAGCTGCTTAAAGCATTGCTAAATTAATCAAGAATAAGATTCAGTTGCTGATGATATATATTGTTGGATTATATGGGAAGGTGATGTGAATGGTGATTAGAATAGGATTTGGATGGAGGTGGTTGTTGCTTATTTCAAGGTACTGGCCTGGCATTTACTTAGGGACCCTGAGGGAAACCATAAACAATCTTGGTCTGGATAGCTCATATCCTGGCTGAGATTCAAGCTGGATACCATAGAATAGAAGTCTAATATATCAATGGTGCAACCAGCCTGCTTGGTAGACAGCCCAGAGCCTTGACTTCTAAAGGTCCTACATGTTTGGGCCATTACTTTGTCTCTCACTTTATCACTGTATTTTCAATGATTTTCTGGATTGTTTGTCAGTTAAATGTTTATTTATTGTCCAGTAAAGCTATTTAGCAGCATAGTTGAATGTCTTCTGAAGACTACCATGAAGATACAAGTAATTCAGTCCAATGGCATACAGCATTTTTGAGTGATACACTGACATTTTGGTTCTGCTATGCTGTTGTGCTCACCCTCACATGAGTGGGGACTTACTTAGAAGAGGTGTAACTTTCATTGCCTCATTTTTTACAGCCTGTGACTGCAGCACGTGCGGCACCAGTGAGTGTGACAGCCACACAGGCCAGTGTCGCTGTCGTGACAATGTTGTTGGGGAGAAGTGTGACCGCTGCCAGGCAGAGCACTATGGTTTCAATTCATGTCAGGTGAGTGAACATAATGTATATGTGAGGTATGAAGTTTTCGCAAGGGGTCGTGGTAGTGTAGTTGGTTGAAGGGCTATGCTACAAGCCGGAAGGTCATGGGTTCAAGTCCCGATGAGGTCATTGGATTTTTTCAGTTGACCTAATCCTTCCAGCTGCACTATGGCCCTGGGGTCGACTCAGCCTCTAACAGAAATGAGTACCAGGAATTAGTTAAATAATTTTCCTGGGGATTAAAGCATGGCCGGCGCATAGGGCTGACAACCTTACCGCCATCTTGGAGCCGATTTTCTAGATAATGTGGTATCCTCAACGTCTCACAACCCTGTGGGCCTTCACGATCTGGTACTTTTAATATTTGGAATCTTCTTTGAGAATTATTCCCTTATTGTGGAGAGGAGGCTTGCATGGCCTAATGACCTAGAGAGCGCTGCTGGCGGGAGTGTAAGCTCCTGGTAGAGCCTTTTGTGCCACACAGTTCACAGTATATTAGCCCCCTATTTCATTGAGGATGAAGAAGGCAATGCTCTTACCGTCACCCAAGAACGCTACAGGGACATGGTGATAGGACCATTTCTTCAGGATTCGAGAAGGTTCTGTCGTGTAAGTGGCCTTCACATGAATAGACAGTTGTATCAACAGGACGTCTTTTCATTTCAGTACTGTAAATTTTGGCACAAACTGTATTATGTTGGTAACTGAGGAGGGAGAATCTGCTTTTTATCTCATTTAAAAAACTAGACAGATTTGTCAGGACTGCAGATGCAGTAAGATTAGATACATCATGATTAAAATGAGATGTTTATTTATTTATTTATTTGTGGTTTATTTTGTGTTGCTTTTAGTAGCAAAGTAGTTGTGGTCTCTTTGAAGGTACTATGCCAGAATGTGCATGGAAAACTGAGAAATATCATGAACAACCTCAATCAAAATAATTTGTTTCCCAACTGAGATTCAAATCAGGCACCTTCCAAATAGAAGTCAGAAGCGTTGCCACTTGAGCCAGCTTGCTGTGGAAGACATTGATGTCACTGAACACCTTGGCCTACTGCATGCAATTGACATTGTGCTCCAGGCACATAGACTCTTGCTATATGCAGAGACAGTATGAAGTGTAAAATTTGTTATGCTTGCATGATGTTGTGGTTACAGGGATGTCGGCCATGTAACTGTCAGCTTGCATCAGAGAGTTCACAGTGTGATGATTCTACTGGACAGTGTCGTTGCAAGCCAGGAATTGCAGGTCTCAGATGTGAACGTTGTCAGTCTGGCTTCTGGAACTATAGTGCCCATGGATGCGTGTGTAAGTCAGAAAATTAAAGTGCTTAGAAATGTAATGAAATTAGATAACCTTGCAAAAATACATGCAGTAGACCTATGATAATCAAGGATAAATGGGAAATTAATTTTTTCAGATAATCAAAAACTCAGAAAGATGAGTGTGGTTTCTTAGAAGCTCCTATTCTGTTTCTGCATGTTAAGAAAAACAGAATAATGAAAGCCTTCTTGAGTTTCCAAGTACATATTAAAAAAAAATAAAACGTTATTGTTCCTTTATAAAAAGCAGTTTCATGTAAGCTTATCATTTTGTGCCCCTTTCTTTTTAAAAAATAAATTTCACAAAGTTTTTCTTTTGACTGGATGCATCAGTCAGTTTTCTAAATGAAGCTGCCAATTAATCCACAACCTTCATGATCTGACCCAATTACTTGGGAGTCTACTGTACTTTATAAATGATCATGATATTTCTCAATTTTGTTTAAATTCTCTCTTTTTATAAGTAGTCTGTGAAGAAGATATAAGATGGAATTTCATAGAAATTGACACTTTAATACAGCATTGCGTGTAAATGGAATTTAATAGAACTTTGGAAGTGGAAAGCAGTTCAGAGAGCACTCAGCATGTTTAGAATGGATTTCAGAGAACATTGAATCAGTAATGAAGGATGACTTCACTGCTCAAGTAGGCAGAAACAATGTGATATGAGTCAGTATTTTGGTGAAGGTGGGAGAAATGAAGGGTTTCAGCTAATTGCATTGCTACTGGATTGCTCTAAGTCTTGTGCAGAAACATTTATCGTTAATTGCATGTATCAGTTTCTAGGTCAAGCAGTATATTTCTACTGTCTTCATTATATTTGAACTTGAATAACTGATCTCCATTCTCTGTATCTTATTTTAGTTTACTGTCCATTCCATTTTTTCCACAATTGTATTATCTAACAAATGGTAATGATAATGATTTGTGGTTATGAGATAATGCACACTGCAGTAGTATCACCTCAGGTCTGGAAGTATAACTAACTAAATAACAAGGAACTGTGAGGATTAAGGTTCTCACAAGAGTGATTATGAAGATAACTGTACTGTGGGATGGAATGCTATGTAGTTTGATTCATAAGCACACTTTCATCCTGAAGTTGGAGGCAGAATGTTCCTCAAAGTGTTATTACTTATCTACCAAACTGTATGGCATCATTTCCCATAGGACAGTATCTTCAGCTTACTAACTTAATAATTCTAAGGTGCATGAGAAGCTGATGATCAGCCAGCTTGTCAAGGAATTCCTGTTTTTATTGAACCTAAAGGTTCATTACCATGTTGGCAGTAATTTAAAAAAAGGAGTGACATTTGAACACATAGGTCATTGTTTGGAGACTAGAATGGTTTGTCACATAAAAGGTAAAGCTGTCCCCGTAACAGGCCATGGAGGACCGTAAGGTTGTGAGATGTCAAGGCTCCCATATTTTCTAGAAAATTGGCTCACAGAAGGCAGTGAGGTTGTCAGCCTTACATGCCAATTGCCCTTTACCCTCAAGAATATTCCTGGTACTTGTTCCTGTTAGAGGCTTAGTCAACCCCAGGGCCATAGTGTGGCCAGAAAGATTAGGTCAATTGATAAATCCAATGACCTCATCGGGAATCAAACCTTTGTAGCGTAGTGCTTGAACCAACTATGCTACTGCGTGCCCCAGATTTATTATATATTATTTGTAAATGATGCTGTCAGTATCTCATTGCCAACGGTTAGTTGCTGGCTTTCCACCGTGGTGGCCTGGGTTCAAGCCTGGGTCTCGTCAAGTGGGATTTGTGGTGGGCAAAGTGGCGCTGGGGCAGGTTTTCTCCAAGTAATTCAGTTCCCCTGCCAATCTTCATTCCATCAAATTCTCCATCATCATAATCACCCATGGCAGCTACAATATTCCATTCAGTGGCTGACGTACCGAGTGGACCCAGCTGGACTCTACTCCCCACTATGCGAATCTCGGTGCCAAATGAATTGATGATAGTGAATTGGAAAGAAGTGGTTGTGCCCTAATTTAAGCTACCATCATGGAATTTGCTTGGAGGGACTCAGGAAACTCATGAAAAATATAAGTCAGGTTACTTAGTATGCTGGCCAATATTTGAATAAGGCTTATCCTAAATAATAAGTCAAAAGTATTACCCCTAGGGCCAACTTGCTTTGTTTCAGAATGACTTACAGCAGTGGTTCTCAACATTATGGTGCTCATGACACACTTGGGATACTGGTACTTTTTCTTTTTTTAATTTCATTAGAATTACAATAGAGAACTAAAATTTGTAATACAAATATACCTATTTTTAAATTATGCGATTTTTGTATTAAAATATAAAATTATTATAAAAAGAAAGATAATGAAATACTGTTACAAATGTCAATTTAAGAAGTTTGTGCATGTTCCATGATATACAGACTTTGTGTAATGGTGCCTCCTCAGCTAAGCAAAGTGTCAGAAAATGGGGTCGAGACAGATTTATTTTGCGGCCACAAATGGGGTTGAGGTACCTTCATCACCAATTTTGTGACACCACAACTAACAGTAGCTGCTATGATCATTCTTACTAATTTATGCTTCCACATTTCAGATAGAAGTTTGTTACTGTATTGTAACTAAGTATCAAAGTATAATAATTATGGATAATAACGTGAAACTAAAAATTACTGACTTCACTTTGCATACTTTTTCTACGTGATCATTCTTCTCTTTGGAGTCATGTGGCACATTTTGGTAAAAGCTTGAGTAGTGCTGGTTGAGAGCCACTGGTTAATAGAGAAGTCACTGTGAAATTTTGGTTTCTGGAGCAGGAGTGAGTTATTTTTGGTCTTTTCAGCTTGTGGATGTAACACAGAGTACTCACTTGGGTTTGGGTGCAATGCAAGCACGGGTCAGTGTGAATGCCTGCCGGGTGTGATTGGGGAGAAATGTGACCACTGTCCCTATCGCTGGGTTCTTAAGGAGGATGAAGGTTGCTTTGAGTGTGACAGCTGCATTCATGATCTGCTTGATGTCACAGACAGGCTTCGAGCTCGTATTGATCCTGTAGCTGATGAGTTTGAGGTGAGAAAAGAATGGAACTCTTTGTACTCAAAAGCTCTCTGTTAGCAGATTTTGAATTTTAACTTTTTCACTTCCCAGAAAGATACTGAAACATTGACATATTTGTAATAAATGAAAACATTTACTTCAGTTTGGAGCTCACATATTTATGAAATGCATTTTTTGTACTTGAATGTGCCTCATTTTCCTTGGCTCTTCAGAGAGAAATTGAGTATATGGTATGAAGTAAAGATCTCAGGAAAGTCTGTGACTTATATTTCAAATAGTATTGTGATACAATGAATTCATGAATTTCAAAATAATGGACGAAAATGATTTTTTATTGTTATCATTATGATATTTATAGTAAAATTAACTTTTCAGTGATAGATTTGTAGGTGCAACAGATAAGGAATGATTTCTGCAATGTAGCAAATCATGTTATGGAAATATGTATACTCATTTAGAGAACACCTTTTTTGTTTATTAAATGGTCCTAATAGAGTCAGATACATTAACCTTCTTCCTATTGAATGATATAGATTCAAACATGAAATAATATTTACTGAAAACTGAAATGTGGAGATTATATAAAAACTTTTACGTGCTTTGATTTTTGTTTTGTTTTCCTCTTTTTTATCTTCTCCATTGCCATCTTCTGTTTCTTATTTTTCCCATTCTCTTGTTACTCCTTCACCTTCCATTTTTTCTTCTGAATGTGCTCATTTTCCTTTTATTCTCCTGTAATTACAACATTTTATATCTATTGCTTTTTATTTTTCTCTTTGTTGTTTTCTCCTCTCCTTTCATTCTTCTCCTTTCTCTTATTCTTCTCCTAATCCTTTTCATACTTCTTTCTAATTCCTCATTTTTTTCCCTTTATCTTCCTTGCCTTACTCTCCCATCATTTTTTGTTTGTTATGCTTATCCTGACTCTCCTCCTCTTTCTGTATCACAGTGTACTCCTTTTCGCTTCCATTTCTCTCACCTGCAGATTCATAGAGTCTGTGATTTTTATGCCTGGTTGTTCAAATATGAGATCAAACAAATTATTCTGTATCCACATAATTTTTCATTCAAGGTCTGAAAAGAATGTATGGTTTGAACTTCCAGACTATAGCTGTGGGCTACTTCACACACCAGCGTCTGGTATACATCAATTCAACTGCCAATGAACTAGCTCCCAAAGTGAAGCTGCTTGACCCTCTCCTAGTGGACCTACGTCCTATCACGGAGGAACTTGAGAGTCTGGAGCAGGATGCAAAAAATTTGAACAGAAAAGTATGAGGCTACAGATAACTTTAGCTTGAATGTTTTTACATGGTGTAGAAAGGCTCTGAGCCCTGGCAGGGACAGTAAACGTTTTCCCTTCATCACCATATCCAGAATGGTTCCATGCTTCATCCTTTGATCCAGCTCCTCTGTTGCTGCTTCTGGATGTCCTCCCACATAAAGGCAAGACCTCAGTAGCGTGTTCTACAGGTCATTTGAAGAAGAAAGCATCCTATAAGGAGTCAAATTTATTACACTAGTGTAGTATAATGATTAAAAAAATCATTTATCTTTTGAACAGCTTTTGTTACAAACTTAGGAGTTTGCTACTAAATTATATTCAGTTTTAGTGACTGAATTATTATTAACATAAAAGTTTACAGCATGTATCAGAGTGTCACTGTACAACTAAGAGAGCACTTATAATATTCCACTATAGCAGCCCTGCCGTGTTCTATACAGGTATACAAAATTCCTATTAGCTTATACAGCATATTTAATTATGAAACACATTAGACACACATTCACACAACATAAAATATATGCACATACCAAAAATAATATTCAGAATGAGAATAATTCCATTATAATTTCGCTAGCTTACTACGCTACATTAGCATTAAACTAGGTAATAGGGATGGATTGAACTAATTTTTATGGGCGTTTTTTTGCTTCTGATAGCCTGTACAGTATGCTCCTTGTAAGTCTGGTTGTAAATTGTGGGATATTTTGTGCAAGGTGAATTGTTAATTTTTTCTTTTTATATAGGTACCATTTTGAAGAGTAGGCTAGTGTATTTAGTGTTGTTATGCAACCGTCAACACAACAAATCCATAATAAATAGCCAATGTTATAGTATTATCATTCATTTTATTATGCATGTTTGCTACATGTTTTGAACCAGCTGGATCATCATCAGGCAAACAGAACCACAGAATGGGAACAACTGCTACATAATAACAAGAAGACGTGGCATCTCTATATAGGACGTGATACAACAGACACAATAACTTTACCACCATCACTAAAATGGAAAATAGAACATAATTTGACATACATATGGAAAACTGCCATATAATATGTGCACAAAGAATTGGGAAGCAATGCTGATTCCCAGGAAACCCATCTACTCTACTGTAAAGCATTATAGAATTTTAGTCCATTGAAAATAGGTGAAAAAAAATAATTTTTTAATTTTCAGCTGTGTTGTAATGTTTTACATTTTAACACTCATGTCCATTATATGACAAAACACAGGTATTGTAATGTAATTCGTAATAATGAATACTAATATGGATCAACATTAGAAATATATATAATTATATAAATATAATTCAGTAACAAATAGTACATTTCATTAAACCTGCCTGGTGATGATCCAGCTGAATTGAAACATGAAGCAAATGTACATAATAAAACTTTGGGATGTCAATGTTTGCTGAGACAACCACTTCAAACTACAACCACAAATGTCCATCGCACTTAAAACACATATTACAGATAAGCCAGGAGTGTGTCTGAAGAGCATCGGTAGCAACTCCTTTCGTAGCTGCCAGTTCGGCCCAGCAGTGATGGTGAAGGTTGTAGGTCCTGAAAATGGTCATTCATTCACCCATGGCTTCTTTGTAGCAGCCTGGGTCTCCTTTATGGCCACTTGGCAGTTACAAACTAGCGGGATAACTGTGAGTCTGGCTGGCTAGGCGCTATGGTACGCTGTGGTAGAGTTGGCTGCCTTGGTGCGCGCACTGATACTGGAGAGTTACGGCAGCGGCTGCTTCATGATGTCAGCATAGCTACGATGGCTGTGTTCAATGGACTGATGATAGCAACTTTGAGGCCCGCATTTTTATACCATTACAGCTGGGCAGAGCTGGCCATGGAGCTGCGATTATGAGTGCTGATTGGCTAGTACTTGTTTTTGTCTTCAGAGGGCTGGACTGCAAGCGATGTATAAATATTGCCTAGTCCTGTTATGAGGTTGGAGTTGTCTGTTGTCTGTTAGACTGGTGAATTTGTGTGTTAGAATGTGGGAGGTTCCCACAAAATGAATAATAATACAATGACATGGGTTATTTATTATGAATTTGTAAGATTTGAGGCTTTCACGGCGGTGACTATGAAGAAAGCAATCTTCTGGGATTTGGCACCATGTATATGTGGTGTTAACCGACGTTTCGGAGGAACGTATCGCCTCCATCTTCAGGGTAGAAGAAAAAATATAAGAAATCTGCAAGCGGAGAGACCGTGAGAACGTCGGTTAACACCACATATACACGGTGCCAAATCCCAGAAGATTGCTTTATTATGAATTTGTTGTGTTGATGGTTGTATAAGAATACAATATGTAATACACAACAGAATGCAAACAATAAAGATAGCCCAGTGTATTATGAATTTTCCATGGACCAGATGGAACAGGTACGTTAATTTTAAATACGAGCTAAGATGGTTCATTCAATAGACTAGTGAGATTCTCATCCCAGCTGTGTTGACCACAGGCAAACTATGTGATGGAATCTGGCAACCAGATTCCCCAGGAGGGTGGCTCTGTACATTTGAGTGCCCTGGAAGTGGAGGAACTGGTGAAGAACACTGTGGTTGGAGCTCTTCAAATTGTGAGTGATGTGAGCACCCTCGCTTTCAGTCTTGAAGGTGGTACTAGCCCGCAGATTGACTCAGCTCTCCAAGAAGCCCAGGAAATTCTTGAGGTACAGAAGGAATAATTTTAAAGTGTGACTGATTTGGGTTCTGTGTTTTTTAGTAATGACTTCCATTGCTGAGAAAATAACCAAATTATTGTGTATTAAATTTGATTTGTGTGACATATTAAATATTGCTAGGCGTATTATTGTATTTAAGTATTCTGTTGCATTAATATATCATTTATTATGCACAATATAATTCCGTCAACACTGCAACTATTTTTATCACTCCCTCTCTTCATGACATGTTTCAGCCGCAAACGGCCATCATCATGTGTCTCAGTTGTGCCATAACTGTTCCACTGCATAAAAGTAAACTTTTTCACATCACATATAAATGCGATATTTCCTACTTTAAATAAAATGAATGTTCAAATCAATAACCTAGTTAGTATTAGTTTATTAGGCATGTTTAATATTAATTTATATCAGTCCAGTATAATTCCTATTTTATGTGAAGGTCACTTGAAACTTATCAAAAATTGCTTATCATACACATAATTGCCAAATAATATCGATCTCTTGAGGACAAATTTTGTTTGAAACTTTTTTCGGTATGAACAGTATACAATGAAATACAGGTATTCCCTTACTTGTGCATTAGTTATATTCCCAAGAGTGGTCAGGTGACTGGAAATTTGTGGTTATCCATGTTACTCTTTTGGTTTCAGTGCTTTTAATTTTAACTGAAAAAGTTAATTAAATTAATTATAATAGCATTCATTTCAGTTGGTTACAGATCCTAATTAGGAAGTCACAATAGCTCAATCAGTATGGCTGTGGACCAGACGGCCTGGATTCAGTTCCTCGCAGTGCAAAATTTTTCTCTTCTACACAGTGTCTAGACCAGCTCTGGGACCCACCCAGCCCCTTGCAATGGGTGCCAGGGGCGCTTTCCCTGGGGGTAAAGTGGCAGGAGCTTGAATTTGACCACTCAATTCCATCTGGTGCTGAGGTCAAGAAAGATGCAGTTATACCTCCAATTCCCCATATGCCTTGATGTCACAGTGCTTAACTAATTAAGTACAGGGACAACTTTAAGTTATTCTGTTTTAGACAAGTCATTTCATCATATTTAAAATAAAGAAAGTCCATTTGAAATTTCATTAATGTAAAATCTATGTAAGTTGGATTGCGTGAGTCAGGGGATACCTGGCCAAAAGAAAAATAATATCTGACTCTGCAGTATGATATTTATAGTGTAATTAGCTTTACAACCTTAGATTTTTGTATCCAAGAAGTGAACATTAGTACGATCCGCAAGGTTTAAGCCTATTTACCTATTCCAATCATCAGGTTAGATGAATTGATCTTTCCATCTCTTTGGTGGCTGATACATCTCTCTTTTTCCTTCAGGATGATAGACAACTTTTGAGGGTTTTTAAAATATGTTCTAAATGACATAATTATCATATTGAAAATATGTATGTTGAGTTTATGTTTCCACTCTTGTTGGCAGTTGTAGAGCAAAGTGAATGGAGATTCAGCACAGTGGCAGTGGCATTGGTTGAATAAGGCTGCCACTTTACTTTTATGTTTGTTTCCCTCACTGTTTAGAGTCAAAATAATTATGGGTATTTATTTGTTTATATATAATTTATTTAATGATTAACCCTGTCAACAGCATAGGCTGTATAGCATTGAATGGGATGAGGGTCTGTGAATGATGAATTGGATAAAATGTGGAACAATGTTGCCGTGGTATCATGGCACATTTTCACGGGTCAATATAATAGATTTCTACATTTTCCTAGGAAATACAACAACAAGACTTCTCTCCTAGGAAAGCAGAGGCTGAGGCAGAGTTGAGAAAAGCAAATGCTCTTCTATTGAGGATGAACAGCTTCTCTCTTCCAGTGCATAACCAGAGTAAAGCCTTTGAGAATTTGCGTGCCAAAATCCAAAACTTTGATGACAAACTGAGTGATTTGCGTAACCACACAGAAAATGCCATTAGCAAAGCCAGTGATGCACAGGCACTGAATAATGCAAACAACAATTCCAAGGTCATGAGTACAGTGGAAAAGGTGAAGAATCTTCAAGAAGATGCAAACCATACCCTGGAGGATGCTCAAGAACTGCTGAGGAATGCATCAGCACTCCTTGGAGATGCACGAGAAGCATTTGATAATCTTTTCCTGGAAGTACAGCAGGGTCAGGATTCAAGAGAGAGGCTGAATGAGACTTTGGAGACAAATCAGCTGGAGTTGTATGAAGTTCATCAGCGGGTACGGAGAGCTGAAGAACATGCTCTGAAGCTTGAAGCCAAGGTAAGCATCACTATCATCACTGTGTCTGTGGCACTAACTTTGCTGACTAGTGGTAGTTGCTCAGTCAGTATAGTTTGTTTGCAGACTACAGGCCACGGAGTTATGTTTTGTTCCCTGTAAATGATTGCTTTTTAGAATGTTGTGACATAACTACATGGTCTGCTGCGAGGCAACAGCTGGGTAAACACGTTTCCATGACAATTGATATGCACACAGTAATCAGAGACATTGCTGGAAATGGTGTTTTCTATAAGGTCCATGCCGAGGCTATATAGTGAGAGTCAACAGCCAGTAGTAGACAGTTTGAGCAATGAGTTACTTGAGAGTCAACAATTGAGGACCAGTTGTGAGTTAGTAGCCAGCTGGAAAATATATAAGCATGAGAGCAAAAAGATCTCCATTGTTGGAACCATTACCAAGCAGTGACTAGTGAAGGCTATAACAGACGGAGCCAGCATGTGCTATAATGAATGTTAAGTGTGTAGATTAGTGGCAGCGGTATAATTATTTGTATTTACCTTTTTTAGAGTCCACTAAATACAATTAGCAGTCAAAGCCGTATGTCTAGTCATGAACATGTGTCAGTATATATTTTAATATCAGATGTATTGTATATCCTGACTGAGATGGATTTCACTTTAAGATTCATGTCTGAGTATTTAATTTTAACATATTACCTTGAGGCTCTTCGTCATTTTGAAAAATTATTGACACAGATATCAGAATAAAAGTTAATGGCACAGGCATTTATTTTGGAAGTGAAATAAATTCACAGGGGAAGTTGGCAGTTGAATAGAAGACTACTAAACAGTCCTAAATTTTGTCACATTATGAAAGAATGAAAAGGGCTATCCTTTGGGCCATTATGCAAGGCAGCTAGTGGAAGTTTACTGACATTTCAAAGGAATACAATATCTCTGTCTTCAGGATTGAAGACTGAACCAAGCCTGCAGCAAGAGGAGGCCTCTTTACTCTGACTCTGCTTGCAGCTCACTTTCTTAGTTTGCTCACCCTTTGACGGTGAAGATGGAGACAGTGTGTTCCTCTGCAACGTTGGTAACCTTCTGGCCAACTACATGGAATCATATCCAAGAGAAAAATATTTGTTATAGTTACTGCCAAGAGGGTCCCAAATCTCATAAAAGTAATATTGTTAAACAAGGAGATTGCAGAACATTGTGAAATAGTGATTTGTAAATTATATTTTAAACCAGTATTAACATTAAACCATGAACCTTTACAAAAGGAAGCAAAAGCACATTCAAAACAGTGGATATGGAATTCTTGAGAAATACTGAGGGAAATACAAGAAGGCATAGAATTGGAAATAATGTTTTTATAAATGAAATTGAAATTCAGAACTTGTTCTGTTGTAAAATTCTGCTGTACTCCATTAACAGTGAAACCTGGAATATGGAATTCGCGATAATTCAGGCAACTGTGGTTTTTTTTTTTTTGTGCATTACAACCTTGGTGATCATGTTGTCAAAATGAGTGAGGTTGTTTTTGTATCTTTTCTTTGTTTCTCTTAGGTCCAGAGATTCTCCCCAATGCTTTGTTCCTTTCTTACAGGCCAAAGAATTGGAAGATTTATTTAAAGAGTCCAACACTTCGTCAGGAAATGCCGTTGATGCTGCCAATGCTTACAGCAACATCGAGTCAGCCATCCAGGAAGCCCTGGCAGCTGCACATGATGCAGGGAATGCTGCAGAGAATGCCACTGATATGTCACATGGTTTAGATGATCGCACAGGTGAATCAGGGGCACGCTCCTCTGAGCTGCTCCAGAATGCACGGGGAACACTAGACCAAGCCCAGCGTGAACTGATGCCACATCTGGAGAAGGCTAGGAACAGCGTTGAGGAGGTGCAGCAAATGAACCTGAAGAGTGATGAGGGGGATAGCCGTATCAACAGGTATGTTCACGGGAAAACGTCAGATTAAAATTGTATACTGAATACTGATTAAGAATTACATAAGAATTACTAAAATAATATTGCTGAGTGGTGCAGGAGGATAAGGGTGCTTGCCTGTGTGTCTCCTTCACCAGAGGTTCCATACCTCCGCCCCTTCTTGGCTTTTCAACAGATGCAAACCATCTGAATTGACTTGTGAAGACACAAGATCATTCTAAAAATACTGTGTACATAAAACAGTGGTTGCTAGTCTCAAGTTCAGTCATAATCATGGGTGTCTGGTGTGGATGTGCGTTAGAGTAACTGTGGAGTAATGCATGCAGTGAATCACAAGTCAGTTTGTTGCAAGATGCAAGAGGACAGGGCAATGATGGTGCACTGAAATAATACTGGACAGAGACAAGCTGATAACAAGATCTGGAGTGGCTACCAACAGTCAGACAGTAAGTGTTCTAAAATGCAATAAATATTACAGGATACAAATAGGAAATAAATAAATGAAGGGCATAATCAATTAAGAATGTAACAAATAATACATTAAGTGACAAACGATTAATGCAACAAGTAAATACCATGACATATTGTGCTGTTTGTAGGAAATGAATAGGTAAACGACTTCCCAAGCCTTCGAGAATAGACACCAATTGCTACATGTAAGATTTGAGATATACACGGTGCCAAATCCCAGAAGACTGCTTTCTTCAATTGCTACATGATGGTTCTAGTGAGCCACTGCAAGCAATGTAACTTTAACTGTTGCAAGCCAATATCCACAGCAATGAATTGTTCCAAATACAATAACGGGTAAGAACGCAATAACCGTACTGTTGAAAGAAGTGGTTTATACACGGTTTGCTGAAACATTATAACAGGGGAGTAATTTGCCAGACAAGAAGAACCGAGAAAGGATTTGTTGAGTAAGGAGTTCCAGTGAGATCCAAACAGAAGTCAAAAGAAGACATCAGAGGAAGAAGTCAGAAATCAGAAGTGAAGTCATTAGTTTATGTGGTGTAGTTACAGTAACTTTTAGAGTGTCATCATTGTTCATAGTTGCAGGAATATTGAAGGTGTTATAATTAATTGTAGTTCTGCCTGGTAAATATCCAATAAATTGACTCACTGATTCAAACCCGCTTCTAAAATCACTAATACATGTGACAGCACATTAATTAATTAACCAATAAGTACATAAAGTAAATAATTTGGCAAGTAGCTGAATGATAAAAAGAGGAATAGATGAAGTAAGAACTGCACAGGTAAATATATGAATAACACAAATAAATAAACAAATAAGTGTGATAATTATGCACTTAATAAAAGTATATGAAGAATAATATTATTTTAATACACAAGTAAATGAATACTTGAATAATTAAATAAGGAAGAAAACAAATAAATATCTTTATTATTCATATATTTATTACTTCATTAAAAATTAAAATTGTCATCCCCATGCTAAATTAAGCACCACACCATGAGTATATATGGGCAGTGGAGGTATAGCTCCACACATGCTTAATCTTGATACTGGGTGGAAGTGAATGGTCAGCTGCTTTACCTTTGGGGAATCAAGCCCTGGTACATATTGTACAGGAGGCTGAGGGACACTCAGGAGAGGTCTGAATGCTGTAGAGAAGGTAGGAATCACACTCAGATTCTCTGGCTGTTTAGTTCATGGCCTAGTCACTATAATGACTGAGCAGTCCCACTCTCATTAATATTATATAATTAATAGGAAAGTGTGTAAAGTAAGTGAATGTAAATGAAACCTTTCACATGAATGAATGAATGAATCATTAAATAAGGAAAGAAGTGGCTAAATAAATATGTTAATTCTTGAGATGATTAATTAATACATAAAATAATTAATTAGATATGGAAGGATCAAAAAACTGTCCAAATGAATAAAGAAATAAATGACATGGTTCAAAACCCTGGTGTGTATGACTGAGTTTTTTATTTCAGAGCTTTGCAGAGGATACCATATGAGTCCCAAGCACCAGAGGCAAGAGTGGCAATGGATCAGTCTGATGCTGCAGATCGCATTTCACAGTCTGCCCTAAACAACATCCAAGATATCTTACATGACTTGCCTGAACAGGTGGCGGAGGCTCGTAAGCTTCCAAGAGATGTGGAAGATACCAGCAAAGTTACAGCACAGGTAAATAATGTGTCAGGATTATGAATTTGAAATTATATACTCTGATCTACAGAGGTAAGTACCCACATTTCAAAAAGTACAAAAACTGGGGTCTCATCTAAGTGTAGAAGTAAGAAGTGATTCATCACAATCAGTTTTGACCTGGTTACATAGGCAGAAAACTGACCTTACTTTACCATTAATTGAAGAGGTATATCACTGTTAATGATAAAATTGAAACATAGTGTTCCTATTAAGGAAATGTGGAAATTTGTTATAAATAATTAAAAGATTACCGTCCTCTGGGATAGGATGCCATGTAGTCTGGTGGACTTTACTAACATTTTTGACGAATCTGCTTAATTTAGTTATGAATTTCACTGCTATACATCTTTACCATTCCTTATTGTGAAGATCACTTTCATTCATTCATTCATTCATTTCCTTTATTTTCCATATATCCATACAGGTAATTGCTTTAGGGATTTGACACCATGTGATGTTAGCAATCCTTAATGATGTTTTGGAGGCATATGGTGTCTCCTGCTGCAGTTGGAGTCAGTGTGTTGCTCTGCAATGTCAGTAACTATCTACCAGACTACACAGTCACATCCCAGGAGAAAGCAATGTGGTAGTCACTGCCATGAGAATAGTCCATATTATATTCCTAGTTGTGATCATCATCTTCAGATCATTCATATTCCAACTTTTGACATGGAACTTAAATTTCATTGGCAGTTAGAATAGATATGATTAAAAGAGATTGAAGGGTTGGACATTAAATGGCCCCAACAACTCCACCACCCTCCAGCAGTCTCACACTTTGAATTAGCTGTGGTATTTTGTTTACTGGGACTTATTTGTCACTTGGCTTCACGAATTGGAGTCCTCGGTGAAGTCTTCAGTCACTCGCAGGATACATGAGGCTGTTTCATCTCTGTCATGGTACCTTATGCAGATGGGACTATATACTAGTCCTACTTTGAATAGGAGCTTTCAGTTTCTGTGACAGCATGACATACTATAGAGTGGATATGTATTTCAGGCTAACAACAATCTGCAGCGAGTGTACAATGTCAAGCCAGACATTGATCAGCTGATTAATCAGCTGAGCACCCAGAGGGCTGGTTTGGATGCTTCAGGCAATGATATCAAAGCACAGATTGATGCTCTCAGACAGAAAATTTCAATGGCCAGAGATGTTGCAAACAGGTGAGTTATTTAGTTTTGATATTTTCTTCACACAAAGTGTGATTTATTTTTCTGCCACTGTTTAGAAAAATTAGAGAAAATGGATGCTGATAATTCCAATATTCTTTCCTATTGGCATCCAACAATCAGAGCACAGATTCCCCCTCCTGCATTCATTCCAGAAATTATGAATAGAGGTCTCGAGCCACTGTCTAGCCTCGTTGTGCTGAAGATTGAGGTGCCTAGGTCTCTCTTCCTTTACATTTGAAATTAACCATTTTATTGTAATTTGATTGACATATTTTGATCTTGACAATACAACACTCATGAATGTATAATATCATTCAGGTTGGCATGTTTCAATTCTACGATCATTTTCAAGGGCATATGTTACACAGTTCCGCAAAGTTTTGCAGGTTCTACATCACAAAAATAAAACTTATTTTAATTAGTTTTAAACAAGTCACATATTTTATAAATTACAACTTTCATTTCTATTTCTTATGCCTGCATAAAGCGACATTATCTGCATTGTCAGCCATGTTTCCAAGAAAACTAGATATTGAACTTACTGCATTCAAAATGGAAATTTAAGGGAACAATTGAAATACAATTGAAAATGGCTTTATATTTCAGTTCTTATAGGGTTTGCCAAGTTATTCTTAAAATGGCTGTAACCCTTGAGTGGTATCTGTAGGAGAAAATTAGATTTACAAACACAAATGCAGCCCATCGTTTGATGGGATTGGCAGTGGCATGCAATAAACTTCAGCCCACCAAGAGACAGAATTGGCAATGAGTGTGTTAATTATCTCTAACAATACAATACAAACTTCTTTTGAAGATTAAGAAGGAATACTGATAGTATTCATGCATGTTGCAGGATCAAAGTGGGAGTGACATTCTCCCAGAACACGGCACTTGAGCTCCGTAACCCAGAGAGCCTCCCAGAGCTGGCAACTTCCACCAAAGTGTCTCTGTACTTCAAGACTAATAAACCCAATGGCTTCCTACTGTACCTTGGCAATGAGGAGGGTACACATCGCAAAATGCGTAGGGTTCGTAGTGATGACTTCTTGGCATTGCAGATTGAGAATGGTTACCCAATTCTTACCATTGATGTTGGCTCAGGTGCTCAGAAAATCATCAGTGATAAGTTTGTGTCTGATGATGTATGGTATCAGGCCATCATTGAGAGGTGAGTATATACCTGGCTTCCTTCAAATTGCTATCTTACTCAGTCTGAAGTGTTCTTTCTTCTGGGATGTTATGCTATGCAATCTGGTAGGAGTTTACTGACATTTCAGAGGAACCCACTGCCTGCTTGCTTGGCTTACTGTTTGACCTTGAAGATGAAGCCTGATCATTCCCACAAAATGTCAGTAAATTCCTACAAGACTACACTTTGCAATATCCCAGTACTCATCTTGTTATCCTCATGAGAACTTAAAATCTCACTTACTCCTTCTGATGTGTTGGCTCTATATATCTTCCATTTAACACCCAACAATTCTGTGTAATATTCCACATTCATCATCTGTTCCCCAGTAGGTGTATTCTTTGGTATTAAGGTAAAGTAAAAAATCAATAGGGGCTCCCAAACTTACACAAGCATTCAGTTCCTGCAAATTTGAAACGGAGCAATGTAAAAAATATGTTAATAAAGTCTCACTTTATGCTCAAAGTTTGAAATAATGTGAATCCCAAAAAATTTGGCAAGAATCAGCTATGTGTTTCAAAACTTGTCTTGAATTATATGATGTCTTCAGGAACGCATCCTCACATAAAATGCGACTGCACTATATATGTAATACAAATGACCTTTATATTGTTTTTCTCATCAGGCATGTTAAAAATAAGTCACTATTCTTTGCTGAATGAACCTGTTTCACACTGTTTTCTTTCACAACCAGCTTGGACTGTTTTCCTTTGATTCATTATTGCACAGTTTTAGTTTAGATGCAATGAAAGTCTCACAGTTAGGCACACAATGCACTAACTACCGAGGTTAGCAGTAATGTCCTGGTGATGCCAGCCTGTGTAGCCAGGTTGGTAGCAGGGCTCTTTTGGTAACCACAAAAAGAAAATAAAACCATGGAGCATTTAACTGTGTCAGAAAAAAATGTGACACTTCACATTCAGAGTGACTAAAGTACATAGTATGTAATTTTCCATATTTAAGATCTGAAGTTTGTGTGGCAAAGAAGATTCACATCGTGGTCTTCAGGATTATGACATCATTTAGGCTGCTAGGTGGACAACAGCTTTTCAGGCTTAATAGCATCAACCCAGAATCCCACTATAACTTTACATAATTCAGTGCTTCTTTTAAATTATTTACTCCTTGTCTCTGTTGTCCACTAAGAACCTTGGTCTTCTTTGCCCAAATGTCCCTTTTCTTTTAACTGGCCTTCTTTGTTAGGTGTCTTAATCTGTATTACTTTCTGAAGAGAATTTCATAGCCTTTCATACAATCTGCAATCTGGAAGCCCAGGGGCTATCTTTTGCCTTGCCACAGGCTTTTCATCTGTATAGCATGGATGACACTAATGATAGATTATGCCCTAATAGCATACCTGTTCAGGTGATGAAGTCACACAAACATCTCCACATTAATGAAATAGCCCAGGGGTAGAATTCTTTTTTTTTTTAATTTATTATATACTGTAAAGAAGTGCAAAGGAAGAAACACAAACCCGTTCTCAAATTTGCTACTTATTAACTTAACAAAACTAAAATATTTTTACATTATGCATATTGGATTTTGGTTACGAATTACTCGTACATGATTTTAAATATGCATTAATGTGAAGTACTCCATACTGAGATCTCATTGTGATTTATTTTGTGTTCCTTGAAGAACAGGGAAGAAAGTTCAGTTGATCATACGAGAAGAGGTGGCTGATGGTCAAGAGAGGAAGCATGTCAATGAGATAGTGCTTCCTGGCACTTCTTCTATCTTCAATTTGGATCAGGAGTTGTCCAAACTTTTTGTTGGAGGATTCCCAGTTTATTTTGGAATGCAACCAGAGATCAAGTACCAGGCCTTTGAGGGACAAATAGAGGAGCTGGTTATAGGTGAAACTCCAGTCTCCCTTTGGAACTTTGTGGATGCAGAGAACAATGTTGGTGCCATTGAGAGGTTTGCAATATTTATGTATATGTTGAGTCTTAAAGATATCAGATATAGAACATGTCACAATTTACATACAGTAGTTCTGAGAACAGAAACTAGACTAAAGTTTGGATGACTGGGTTGCAGTGTCTTGTAACATTCAGATGTTTTTGTCTTTGCCATTGTATCCAGATTTGAATACAGTGAACCCAGTCTCATGTCTACTTACTGCTGAATGCTGTTGAATGTTAGGGGATGAAGAAAGAGCTTCACAAATTGTGTGTGCACTTGATAATAATTGTTTATCAAGATTTTAAGCTTTAAAATTGAATGGCAAGGGGTATGCATATATATTTTAAGGAAGATACGTTTCATTACAAAAGATACAGGTTAGGATTCAGAAAATTATATTTACTTTGGCAGGAAAAGAATGTGTAATATTTAGTGATTAAATTTGAATTTTTATTTTTAGTATTAATGATAATTAGTTATCTCTCTCAGAATCACAGAGTGTTTGGATTTTGGCGATCGTCTGGTACTCTAAAATACTAGACAACACAACGTTTTAGAAATTGGATCTGTTTCCGTCCTCAGGTGAGAGGAGGGACACATAGTCTGTTGGGTCTGTTAGAAAGAGCTGAACTCAGTCACTGGGTAGCTCATTCTAAGGGACCCAACAGAGTGTGTATCTTCTCTCTCACTTGAGGACAGAAACAGATTCAGTTTCTGAAACGTTATTTTCTCTAGTTTCTTAGAATACCAGATGATGGACAAAGTCCAAAAACCCAGTAAATCTGAGTGTCGTACATCATTGCCAGAAAACCCTTTAGATCATAGCTGTCTCTCTGTTAGAATAAATCTGTTTGTGTTTATTTAATGGTGCTGCCCTGTGGCTTGGACTATCTTGTGCTGGATAGCAAAAGGGTATAAAGATAAAATTGGCCCTTCACTTAACTAATGAAGTGCTGTACCATGAACACATATAGAGGAATGGTTATATGGCTGTACCTTTCATGACCTTGATACTAGATGAAGGTGATTAGTCAGCTTCATGCCCTGGCTGCTTTACCTCTAGTTAAAGAGCTCCCTGTACCTATTGAATAGGAATGGGTCCCAGAGCTGGTCTGAATGCTGTGGCATAGAGACATATCTTTAGCTCCTTCAGGAATTGAACCCTGGCCATTCAACCCATTGGTATACTGACTGGGCTATCCTGTTTCCTAGTGTTCTAGTCAGGATTCAGCACAAGGACCTCCTGAATGTATGTCCCAAGTGTTAACTGCTTCATAAATTTTTCTTAATGAATTTAGAACAAAAATTGAAGTAAAGAGAATTAATAGAGATATTCAGAATTACAGTTTTCTTTCTATTTTCTTCAGAGATAAGCTTGTGAACTTGCAACCCAGCACAGGATACCGTTTTGATGGAAGTGGATATGCTATTGTGAGTAGCAGACCTTACCGAATGCGTGAGCGTTCTGATGTTCAGTTGAAATTTAAGACTACAGCACGAGATGGACTGCTTTTCCTCGCTGGAAAGGGACACACATTTTTGTCAGTGGAGCTGCGAGATGGAAATGTTGTGTACCAGGTACGGCACTTACTCTTTCACCCAAAAATTTTCAAGCACTGTCATGCCCTCCATACCAGAATTTCATCACTCATTCAGGTTGTGCTGTTTTCCCTGTTATTCTCTCCAATATGCATGGAAAGTATGTGTACTTCGCTTAGGAGAGAAGTGTTGTACAATATTCTGATAGAGTTTGGGATGCCCATGAAACTAGTTGGGTTGTAAAATATGTTTAAATGAAACGTATAGTAAAGTCCATATAGGTAAGCATTTGTTTGATAAATTTCCTATCCAGAATGGTCGAAAACAAGGAGATGCGTTATCGTCACTCCTTTTCAACTTTGCTTTAGAATATGCCATTAGGAAGGTCCAGGGAAACCAGGCGGGACTGAAATTAAACGGGACACATCAGCTGTTGGCCTATGCTGATGGTGTGACTCTACTGGGTGATAATGTAGATATCATAAAGAAAAACGAACAAACTTTAATTGATGCAAGTAAAGAGGTTGGTTTAGAAGTAAACACAGAGAAAACTAAGTATATGTTGCTGTCTTGTCACCAAAATGCAGGCCAAATTCATGACATAAAGGTATGACACGGATGTTTTGAAAATGTGGGACAGTTCAGATATTTTGGAACAATACTCGGGTAATGCTTGCTCCCATTCAGTCCAGAACCTTTTGTCTTCTCATCTGCTGTCCAAAGACATGAAAATTAGAATGTACAAAACTATAATTCTGCCTGTGGTTCTGTATGGATGTGAAACTTGGTCTCTGACTTTAAGGGAGAAAGATAGACTGAGGGTGTTTGAGAACAGGGTGTTGAGGAGAATATTTGGACCAAAGAGAGATGAAGTGACAGGAGGTTGGAGAAAACTGCACAATGAGGAGCTTCATAACTTGTACTCTTCTCCAAGTATAATTAGAATGATCAAGTCAAGAAGGATGAGGTGGGCAGGTCATGTAGCACGAATGGGGGAGACGAGGAATGTGTATAGGATTTTGGTGGGAAAGCCTGAAGGAAAGAGACCACAGGGAAGACCAAGGCATAGGTGGATGGACAGTATTAGAATGGATCTTAGAGAGATAGGATGGGATGTTATGGATTGGATAGATCTGGCTCAGGATAGGGACCAGTGGAGGGCTCTTGTGAACACGGTGATGAACTTTTGGGTTTCATAAAATGCTGGGAAATTCTTGAGTAGCTGCAGAATTGGCAGCTCCTCCAGAAAGGCTCAGCTCCATGAGTAAGTAAGTAAGAAAGGAAGCATGTGTACTTCAACCTATATTCTTTGAACAGCTTCAAAAATTAACATGTTAAAAGTGAAGGAAAGAACATTTCAAACTGAAAATGAGCACATTAACTTCCTATTACCCTGTCCAAGCATCTGGAATTCTCATGCAACCAGCAAGAATTTCATATAAAATGTACTGCTTGTATAAAGTTACTTCAAGTACGAAGTTGTATGAAGTTTTGTAGTCTTCACATTCTGAAAGATTAAGTTTCAATAGAGGTGAGGACACCCTTACCTTGAAACTAAGCTACAATTACATCATACCTAAAAGTAGGCTATGACCCCATTTTTTTAAATGTCAATGATGAAAGTAAAGCAAAAGAAGAGTAAGAAGCAGTTTTTTTCTTTATTTGTGTAAATATTTGGATCTTGTTAGTGAATGTTCTGAAGCATTCTACTTTCCACACTCAAAAGTAAGTCCTGTACTAACTTTGGTCTAAATGGCGGTAATTTCTCTTTTAAGTTTCAAACAAATGTGAACCTTAAACTTATAGAAACAATAAACTGATACATGTCCATATACTGGCATGTGTTACAGTATGACCTTGGACTTGGATTGCTCCAAATAACATCACAGAACACATACAACGATGACAGATGGCACACAGTGGAAGCTGTTAGGGAGAAGGAGAAGGGTGTGCTTAAAATTGATGGTGTTCCAGAGTTCCAGGGCAGTGCACCTGAAAGAGCTACACAGCTGCAGGTCTGTATCTTATTCATGTATTTATTTCCTCACTTTATTTAATATTTTCAGTTGCTAAGTTTGTATAGTGTCAAATAATAAGATGATTAGCGAATAAGGAATTCAGAAAGATGTGGAAAGGAGCATTGTTCAAGCCCTAATTTAAGGTTCTATCCTGACATTTGGCTGGAATCACTTAGGAAAACCACCAAGAACCTCAGTCAGAACAGCCTGTCTTTGGGCCAAGATTTGAGCCTTATCCCTCTGAAATATGAAACTGGAGTGCTAATCAGTTGAACACAACATTTTATGGTATCATATTTAGTATCAATGCAACATCAGGATTTTTTGAACAGAATAAATCAATACATGTTCATCTAATTTCCGTGTTTTGAATTTCCTGGATACATTTCATCTGTGGTCTGAATAGGGAAATGCCCTTTTCTACTTTGTTAATATTTTCTGAGGTCAAACTTTGTCTCATTTGGAGCAACGTATTTTTCAACACACCATTCCAACAGGTTCTTTTTATTTTTATTTACTTCTAAAGTTGTCAGAACTGTTCTGATGCTTGACTGCAATGTCTTTTCCCATATGTCAGGCTGTTTCTATAAATTGGAGGAATTCTTTAAAAGATGATTGTATTATATCTGAAAAAATTGACTGTTGTCATTCATATTGTTGTAATTTTATGTATATGTACATATGTTTGATGGAATGTATTTGTAGTTACTGCTTTGTTGTCATTTACTAGGTTTTTATTACTAGAGTACATTATGTTTATGCTACAGTATCTTAAGAATTGTTTTAGTTATATTAAGTAATGTGCATGTTGTTGCTATCAAATGAAATGAAGAAGCTACCCTTTGGAGGGCAAGTATTTGAACATGTAACAGGCTGCAAAGTCCAATTTAAATTTTAACAGGCTTGGCCTCTTATAAACTTTCAAATGTAGGGAATAAATTTCCTACTGAAATTCATGCTTGTTGCTTTAACAGTAACAAGTTTGCTACTGCACATACTGGCAAGAGTATGCAGTAAATTTCATAACACCCTTGGTGAGTGTTCTGTGTTATGTCTGCAGTAAGAAACGGAAGTTGCTTTATATATACACACACATACACTATGAGATAACTTTTTAAGTTTTAAACTATCGTGGTAGTTAATTATTGATGTTGATTCTATTCTTGTGTTGTTGCATCATGTGGTTGTAGGTAGTGTTTTCAATATATCTGAGGTACATGTTTTGTCTGTCTTCAATTTGTGAGTTTCTGTGTAAGTGTATATATAGCATTCTGTTTTTAAAAGAAGGAGGGGCACGCAGTAGTATAGTTCACTGAGGCACTATTCTTCAAGCTGGAAGGTCCAGGGTTTGAATCCCGATGAAGTCATTGAATTTTTCCAGTTTACCTATTCCTTCCAGCTGCACTATGGCCCTGGGGTTGACTCAGGCTCTAAAAGAAATGAGTACCATGAATCTTCCTGGGGGGTAAAAGGGGGAGGCGCATAAGGCCAACAACCTTATCACAATCTGTGAACCGATTGTCTAGAAAATGTGGAAGCTTCAACGTCTCATAACCCTATGGGCCTTCACAGCCTCTTACAAGGATAGCTTTACCTTTACCTTTTAAAAAATGGATGGAATTTTGGGGGGGGGGGGGGNTGATGTTTGCAGGGTGAGTTTTCCCTTGCCGTTTAAAAAATGGGTTGGATTTTTGGGGGGGGGGAGGTATAGAGTGGGAATTGGCGCCTCAGCTGGGACAGTAGGGAGAGTTGACTGGGAACATTGTGCAGATTGTCCTTTTGTGGGTCAAGGAGTCCATCAGAATCCCATCAGTAAGTGATGATTCACTTCTGGATCCATAATAGCGCCATCTGCATCAATTCCCCTCTTATCTCTTCCCTTTCCCCTGTTGCTTCTGAAAACAAAGTGGTATATATACACAGAAGCTTACAAAGCTACACACTTTTACCCTGAAGATGGAAACAGCATGTGCCTTCATAACGTTGGCAACATCACCCACAACCGCAAGGGGTAACAACTTTAGAACAGAAACATCCAACACTGCAGTATCTGAATTTACTGCCACTTGAAGGACTGAATTTTTTCTACTTGAATATGAAAATACAATTCATACTTCACAGGAAACATATTATTATGAAGACCAGCCAGTTAATGTCATTTGAGGAAACAATCACTGTTTATTGTGAGAACCATACTAAACAGTGCAGATCCAGTTTCTTGCAGATGGTGTGTGTAATAATATGTTGCTGTGTTGTTCAGGTTTCAGAGCACTTCTATGTGGGAGGCTATCCAGGGCAGCTACCATTCAGACCAGTGACTGGTGTTGGATTCGATGGCTGCATTGATGGAGTGCAAATTGATGGAACACCTGTTGATTTGAGTCAGAATGTAGAAGCTTTTGGAGTCACTCCAGGTTGTCCAGTGCAAGTAAGTACTGCAAGAAGGCTGAACTAAACTCAACTGATTTTTGAATTTCCCACTGCAGTATATAATATCAACCCGCAGTTAACTACAGTAGAACTTGGTTATAACGTCATCAAAGGGACCTAAAAATAGTGTCGTTATAAACGAATGTCGTTGTAACCGAAATGGGCGCTTCCACAGTAGCCTTATGTTAGTCACGTAAAAATCTACGAAAAACCGAGTTAAAATGTTGCATTTTTTAGTGAAATATGTAGTTAAGTACAGACTAACGTAACATTAACGTGGAATTGCCCAAATGTGTAATATCAAAGACATATTACAGCGCTTTTCACTGACAATACACACCGCACTAATACTGTATATTAAAGGTAGGCCTACTCACCAAATTACAGTAGATTACATCAATTGTTGTGCCTTACTGTACCTAGATACGAGTACAGTAATCAGTTATCTTCATCTGTTTCCTGTTACTTGCCCAATACACACTTTCTAAATTACGTTCAATGTCCATATCAGAGAAATTCAGGAATGAAAATGACGTTACATACGAGGTTGATGCATTTGTGCATGTCGTACTAAGCAAGGTATAAAAACAGTTGCTTTATGAGGAATTAGTTCGTACCATTGAATATTTGACGCAATAGACAAGGTGTCGCAGAAACCGATGTTGCTATAACCAAGTTTTACTGTATATACTCTGCAAGATTTGAGATTCTCACAGTGTTGGTCTTGAAGAATTCTGTCTTTTGGGATACAATGCCATGTAGTCTGTTGAAAGTAAACCAACATTTCGGAGGAATATTTGGCCTCCACCTTTAGGTTTGAAGAGAAGCTGCCTGCTTCTTGCTGGTTTTTGTATGGCCTTGTCTTCAGCCCTGAAGATGGAGGCAACATGTTTCTCCAATATGTAAGTTGACTTTCAGTGAACTGCGCTGCTTTTTAACACAGAAGATAGAACTCTAAATATATACTATTTGTAGTAAGAAAGGCTGAATATTGTGGTCAGGTTGTTGTTTGAACCTCGGCCAAGAGCCTGGCTATTCTCTTGCACTTTTTGATGTCTTTTAGTCACACCCTTCAGACAGATGCCAGGACAGTGCCTCCAATTATGCCATGGGCACTTCCTTCTACATCCTTTCCAATTCATTATTCACTATTCCTATTATTCAGTACTGTGTAATCAGAGCTATTGTGAGGGTCATTAAAAGAACCATAAATAAACTGTAATAAGGATGTTTTGTATGGGAGCAGAACTTGGTCTGTCAGGTTAAGGGAAGAACAAAGAAGGAGGGTTTTTGAGAACATGTTTCTGAGGAGTATATTTGGACCTAAGAGGGAAGAAATAACAGGAAGCTGTAGGAAACTGAATGATGAGCGCCATAATCTCATGCATTTATTATGATTTAATTATATAGAGATAAATGTTACAGTGTTAGTAAATATTCAGAATAAAATAATTTTTTTTTAACTGTTCATCTCCTAAAAAAATGACTTTTTCTATATTTTGAATCTGGAAATCTATCAGTCCTGCATAACACTGCAGAAGTCTTTCTATTCCAGTGATACCATTAGTGTGACATACTGTTTTGTGACAAATCCTGACTGTTTTATGGTTTTACTCAAATGCTCCTGTAAATTGCTTCAATAGTGCCCAAAAATAGACTGTGGCTGCTTCTTTCAAATTCCCTTCTTATTCACCATTCACAATAAAGCTTATATTCATTGGTATGCAACCAGCTCATGGACTTGTTAGAGCTGAGTCCTTCTTGAGAAGCCACCAGTTGCTCAGCTGCTGAAGAATTCCTGAACATTTTATGGAACCTGAAGGTTCATTACCACGCAGGATCATATCATTGGTCCTTATCCTGAGCCAGATGAATCCAGTCCATACCACTCTATCATGCAACTAATGCTACTTAAAAATCCTTTTTAAATGAACCTAGAATTGGTCATGAAAGTGACAGTTTATATAATATATCATATTGTATTGTCTAGTTTAGTAGCTCATTTGCATTTCATGTGATAGGTGCCACTCTAGGTAACATGTCATGTCTCACCATCCAGTTTGGTAGCTCTTTTGCGTTTGATGTTGTCAGGTGACATTATATATAACATATCATGTTTATTGTTCAGTTTGCTAGCTCAGTTGCATTTGATGCGGCAAGCCCAGGTTACGTACGATGGCCCAATGGATCAGCCGATAACTTCCTACAGCTCAACCTTAAATTCAAGACAGCTGCTAGCTCAGGATTATTATTCTATGGGGCAGACCGGCATGGAAATGCAGCAGTGTCTCTGGCACTGATGGGTGGAGGCTTGGTGATGCGCAGTCAGGGGGAGGAGCTGGTGACTGGTGCCAACACTCACTATGACGACAATCAGTGGCATGTTGTCACTGCCACACATGACAGTACTGGACTGCGTCTTGACATCGATGACTTTGATACTGTCATGTGAGTACTGAATTAATAAATCTTATGTCTTATATTATTGATAACAGTAGCCTCATGTTTTGTGTGCGTGTGAGAGAGAGAGTGTGTGTGCATGCGAGCACATGCATACACATATGTTTGTCCATGTGGATGCATATATGCACACCTACACTTTCTTGTGAGTCTTAATGTATATATATATATATATATAGGGTGTATCACAACTCAACGGCAAAACTTCAGGAACGGACTCCTCATGTAGAGAGAAGAAAAAAAGTATATGACAACATGGGTCCGGAAATGCATGTAATTACAGAGTAGTAATTGTGTCTGCATTCCACTGAAAAGAACTGGCGGAGGAAAATTTATCAGGAAGTAATCACAGGTGACGTCATGATAATCATAGAGCTGTCCTCCCAGTGAAAGGCCGACCCACCGATAGAAAGCACTCATGTCACCAATTCTTTTCAGTGGCATGCAGACACAATTACTACACTGTAATTATATGCATTTCCAGACCCATGTTGTCATATACTTTTTTCTTCTCTCTACATGAGGAGTCCGTTCCTGAAGTTTTGCCGTTGAGTTGTGATACACCCTATATATATATATATATATATATATATATATATATGTTTATATGAGTATATATACACACACGTGTATATACACGCATGCACATGTGTGTATGGAAGTGCTCGTGTCTCACCTCAAGCCTGCTATGCTAATATTTAGTATTTAAGTGGTACATGTTCAACCTTGGCTGCTAGCAGTAGTACTGATGGAAAAAGAATATCTGTCAGACAATGACCGCCTCTGTGGTCTAGTGGTCAGCATTCCTGGCTACAGCTCCAGAGATCCAGGTTCAATTTCCGGCGCTACCAGAGTTTTTGTGACAAGTAGTGGGTCTGGAATGGGGTGCACTTATCCTCATCTTGATAATTGAGGAGCTATTTCAAGGAAATAGTGGCTCCGCTCTAGAAAACCGAAATTAACGGCTGTGGGGATTCATTGCACTGACCACACAACACCCTCTATCCACAAAACTTGGCACTAAACTTCGTCAACAAGTGGCCGTCACTTAGTCGGTATAGTTCGCTTGCGGATTAAAATCACAGAGTTTATTTTTTTAGTCAGTATGACACCTTATGACTGGTCTGCTGGGAAGTGTGGTAGACAGGTACCAGTATTTGAGAGGAAGCTGTTACCTCCATCTTTAGGATGTCTGCTCTGAAGAAGGAGGCAGCAAGTTCCTCCAAAACATTGGTACGTATCTACCACATTACACAGTGTCCTGCTGGAGAATAGCAGTCTAAATATTTACTGCTGTGGGAACTGAAAATTTCATACTGTAACAAACCTTCAGGGAATCAATGATTTGCTGTATAATTTGTTTGTGTTCTTGTAGGACAGACTCGGAACCAGCTCCCCTCCATTTCCTGTATGGCAACTACTACTTTGGTGGCTTGCCAAGTGTACAGACTGCATTCCCTGGCACAGTAGCAACCACAAATCCATTCATTGGCTGCATTGGGGATGCTACTGTGAATGGGGTGTTTATTAACTTCGCTAATGCAACTGACAGAAGAGGTGCCATTTTGGGGAAGTGTCCCTCAGCTGATATAAGACCAAGTCGACCTTCAGGTATGTGGCTATAAGTGACTGACTTCAAGATGCCAGTTGATCTTATTCCAGTTTATTAATTCAGGATCATGATTAGTGACAGGCTTTGCTTGTAGTGGTATTTTTCTTTTGGCTGCTATGACAGTGTTAGGATATTAATTAGGATTGTATCCAATGGCAGTCTTTAGTGTTAGTTGGTACTTTCTTCATGCTAGTTGCTTACTCTTCTACTCTTTGAGTCTGAAGATGGAGGCAGTACGGTCCTCTGAAACACTGGTAAATGTGATTACATGGCATCACATCTCAGAATATGATACTGTCCATATTTAGCACTGTGAGAACAATTCCAGCAGTGGTGTATATGGCTATTCAAAACTACGACAATAAAGTTCGTGAAATTGCCACCATGTGCTTGCCATGGCAGCAGTGGACACAAGCCTTAGTATGGTTTGATGACAATGGCATATCAGTGTTTCACAGCTGTGTTTGATGCTGATCTATGGCAGTCTCTTTATAAGTGGCATCTCTTATTTCCTAAGTGTGTTTTGGTTTGCAAGAATTTTTGAGCTTGAATTAGAGCAACGAATAAATATTAAATTTCTCATTAAACTTGGCAAGAGTGGAAACCAAATCAAGAGAGATGCTAATGCAAGTTTATGGGGATAATGCTATGAAGGAAACAGCAGTTTACTAGTGGAGGACACGTTTTTCTGAGGGAAGAGGAAGTGTCACTGAAGAAGAGCGATCAGGACCATCAACAACGAGTAGAACTGAAGAAATCGTTGCAAAAGTTTGTCAAATTGTGTGTGAAAATTGTCAGCTGACTGCCACGAGCATAGCAGAGCAAGCAAACATTGATAGAGAAACAGTTAGGGAAACTTTACTGAAGATTTTGACATTAGGAAGATGTTCGCAAAAATGGTCCAAAAGGATCTGCTCATGCAGCAGTGTCTGTGAGGGAGCTTTTAGCTAGTAAACAAATAACTGTGCTGGAACACCCTCCCTATTCACTGGATCTAGCCCCAGTGACTTTATTCTGTTCCCAAAGATAAAGGAAATATTGAAAGAAAGCATTTTGTTGACGTCAGTGACATCAGGAGTAATATGACGGCAGCTCTGAAGGCCATTCCACAAAAGAAGTTCCAAAATTGTTTTGAAGGGTGAACAAGGCACTGGCATTGGTGCATAGCTTCCCAAGGGGAATACTTTGTGATATTCAGCAACGATGAGTTCACGAACTTTATTGTCAGACCATGTAGGTAGACAGTGCATATGTGTAGAGAAACTTGGGGGAAGGACCAACATATATTCCTGCATGTATGCTTTTTGGAAATGGTGGTTGTGGAACTGTAAGGAACTGGGAGAACGTTCTAGCACTAGGTGGATGAAGTCTACATGTGGAACCTCCCATTAATAATTATGCATATTACAGGATTTCATTTCTGCTATTCTGTATTTGGAATGAAATTTTATGTCCTTATTTTTATATAACTGTGGTATTTTAATTTTAGCACCAACAATTCCCAAAGAAGATGATGTTGCAGTTATACTGGAGCCAGAGCCAAGTCCACGTGTTCCAGAAGAATCTCCAGCAACTGTCAGACCTGTGCCAACAAGTAAGATCTCACTGCCGCTACATAATGAAGTTTCTTAGAACCCAGGCACAGCTTAAAAGCTTTCAAATGTTTATTTGGGATTCTTTTGTCATTAATTTTTCAAATTTATCCATATGTCTTATTCTGTTATTTTTTAATTTGTCTTCCAGTGTATTTATCTTTAAATTCTGTCTTATAATTCTAATTTTTATTGTTTCTTCTCTCTTCCCCCTCCTCCCTGCTGGTTTTTTTTTCATCGATATATTATTTGAAATATGTTAAAATTTACAGAAGAACCTGACTTTGGCAAACCTGAAGAGGAGACAACACTGTCAACTGCAACTGCACCAACTCCTGCCCCAACGCCAGCTGGGAAATGCTCCCTGCCATTGGAGCCAGCCAATGACACTTCTGTTTCTCCTGCAGATGGCTACAGGTTTGGTATGTAAATTGTTTGTCAGTTGGTTGTCTGTCTTCTTTTGTCCTTCTGAGAATCTTATATTGAAATTATAATTATTCCCAACAAACTAATCCAATAGAGTGAGTACTTATTGAGAAGCCAATAATTACTCAGCCATTTAAGAAATTCCCAACAATTTAAGAAACCTGAATGTTCGTTACTGTATTCACAGGATCTAGACAATGGTCCCTATCCTGACTTAGATTAATCCAGTCCAAACTCTTCCATTGTACTTCTTTAAGATCCATTATCCTCCCATGTATATCTAGATCTTCCTAGTGGTCCCTTTCCTTTATATTTTCCTACCAAAAGTTTGTACACATATCCTTTCTCTCCCATGCATGTTACATGCCCTGCTCTTCTCACCTTTGATTTGCTCATANACTTGATTGTACGCACTGTATGAGGTGAGGGGCACAAATTAAGAAGCTCCTCGTGGAATTTATGCCTTCTGCAAATACATTTTATAATCCCTACTTGCTTGCTCCTTAGCTGGGTTCAAATTCCAGTAGGAGGATAGATTTATCTGCATTCCACTTCCTCTAGACTGACTCTGGGACTTTTCCAGCCCTCTGTATAATGAATACTACAAGCTCAGCTAGAACCACACAGTGATGAGGGACGTGTTCATGTATTTCTTCTATATCATTGTATCTTTTGCAGGTGGGGCTGTTCACAAATTTCAGCCTGAACAGGAGCCCTCTCAAGTGACAGGTGTTCTGCTAATAGGATCTAAAATTTTGTGACGATGGTATATTAATACAATTATTAACTTTATGGATATTATCCATCATCCAATTTTTTATTTAAAAGACTGGGCTTGTCTCCCCTCCTCAGATAATAGTCTACTCAGGTGGAACGAATTAATAGAGCTAGCGCCAGTCTGTGGACACAAAAACCAACACAAATAGTATATATATATACTGTCCTGTTTTGATTCTGGTGTCTGGAGATAGGACTACCCCTATCGATTGAGCCCACCTGAGGACAGAGACAAGTCCAGCTGGTTCCTCTTCAGCTCTGATAGTTTCCCAGTTATATTAGAATAGGGTTCCTGAAAGAAATGCTTCACACATTTCTGTCTAGGCATGGTCTGCTGGTATACCTGGTTCAAACCTGTATCATGAATGCTCTATGGTGAAGTTAGCCATTCCGGATAACCTCCTTAAAAAAATCCAAACTAGTGTGGAAAAGTATACTGAAAGGGGCAGCTGTGTATTCAAAATTAGTTTTTCCATCCATTTGCCTTGGTGTTCACTGCAGGAATTGAGGCCAATTCCTGGTAAGGGTAAGAGATTTTGCTCTTCCCCGCAGCACCCAGACTGGTTCTGGGGTGGACCTAACCTCCTGTCTATCAGTAGGTTTTGTGATCACTTTCTGTTTTTTAGGTTATTTAGCAACACTTTTGATATCACAATTGTAGTGTCAGATGGTGGAATAACCTACAATTGATGAACTGGATGGAGTTTGGAAATTAAGAGGTCATGGTCTAAATAAGGCACTGTCACAGAATTTTTCTAGAGGGACTGAGGAAAACCACAAAGTATCTCAGTAAGGATAGCCAGTGTCCTGGCTGAGGCTCAAATCAGGCACCTAATGACTATAAGTCTGGAGTATTACCTTTAAACCAACCTGTTCCGTGTTTAGGTGATAAAACTTTTTTGGAAACAGAAGAAATGACCTGCCCATAATGCTTTCATTTTATGCGTCTTACACTCACCCAGCCACATCCACTCTTGAAAATCGTAATTATATTTTAACTTGACATATCCCATATCCTTTCTACCATTGCTGGAGGTGGAATAGGGTGTCATTAGGAGACTGCATGTTTATAATTAAAAGACGGCTATGGATGTGAGAGTCAGCTTTCTAAGTATTGTCTTGGAATGCTAATAACTCTGAAATGTGTTCTGCAGGAACTGTAGCTGGCAGTCGACAAGAATATGGTGCCAACTCAGGTCGTATTAAAATGAAATATGAGTTCTCTCTTGAATTCAAAACTTCAGCTGAAGAAGGCATATTGTTTTATGTGGGGGATGATCGCCATATTGACTTCATAGCCTTGTACCTGAAGGGTGGCAAGGTAAGAGAAAGATTGTACTAATCACAGTTTATATACCATTGTAACTTTGTTATTAAATACTGAAAGAAAGTGTGTGCATTACAGGATAAAATATTGTCACGTGTTAGGTGTGTCACACGACAAGTAACTTCACGCCTTATTTGATATAGCAAATTTATTGAACACTCGCTCTCACAATCACACAATTTACAAGCTCACAATTACTGCCTTCAGCAGTATCACAAATACTTCTCCTGTAGTCACTGCCATGTACTCGATACAACCCGACTTGGCGACTGCTACAATTCAACTCTGGTTAATCGTTACTCACTAGTACTCACTGGTAACTGGCTCAATCCTCACTCACTGGATAGTGTTCGCTGCTCCTTATTTAGCCTTGGCACAGACAACACAGAAAACAGTTACATGATAGGTACCACTGTTGCATGACACCGTGTTTACAGGTTGCCTAGCAACACTGTCGAGAGTTGTTTACTGCTGTGTAGTAACCGCGGTATCCCTTGTTATGTCACCACAGCAATGGTTGCCTGACACAACTGCCCCTCTGTTACATCACCACGGGAGGCAACGGAGTGTTTACCAAGCATTGCATGATAATGGAAGGGGTGGGGGTATGTGACGTCACTCGCAAGAACTTAGAATTCACGTGACCCCTACTTCCCGTTGCGCCATCCAAGTCACACTATGGTATAACATTAAGGCAGAGTCTACACGAGCACACAAAATGTGTTCATTGTAACGAACGTACTTTGCTGAGGACACCACACAGTTCAAGAATGCGGTGCATAGTTTTTGTCTGCAATGGAGCCAGAAGAAAGCATAGCATTCGCCTCTAGTTTATTTCTACAACGGACATCATGACGTTCATTACAACGGACGCATTTTGTGCACTCGTGTAGATGCTGCCTAAATGTTGACTGTTTCTTATCCTATCTCTGTCAGAAGGTTTCTAGCATCATAAATTTCCCATACAGGTCCACTGTTAGAAGCCTTTTGCCACCACCTTCACAGATTTGCTGCCACAGTTTGATCACATGCTGAATGTTATGTCTTTATTCTTTCCGTTCTTCGACATCTCTTCTAGTTGTTTGCATGTATGAACAAGTGCATACATATTTCTGTATCAAAGTGTCTCTTTTCTTAAATTTTCCACAATTTAAGTTTTAAAAGATTGCTGTCTTTTGAGCTGTTACACAGTGTAGCTTGGTAAATAGGTACAAAACTACATGACATCACAACACAGAAGACAATAGTCTTTGTAATAATGACCTTGAAAGCCTAAAATCTCATAAAATAAATTATAGCAGGAGTGTGTTTGAAATTACAAATGATGGGAAAGAGTTAAGTACTACTGAGTTTTGGCTCGTGCAGTGTACCCCAAATTATCTGTGCTAATAAACTGGGAAAGACTCATGAGTAACTGAAAAAATATGGATAATCCAAATTTTATATGTTATTGGAAGAGTATTATGATTGCAAATGTAGAAATTCAGAAATATGTGCATAACAACCAGTTCTTCACTTATACCAGTCTACAGAAAATGTGTAGTACACATAAGATGCATTATTCATCTTTTCTACAACATTTGCTCAAAATGTATTTTACTCCAATAAATATTTAGTGACTTACATTCAAGGTACCAGGACAGATGCATATTGGTCTTCACATAGGTGGTTCTTACAACTGTCCCATGGGACTTAGAACCAAGTATGACTGTGCTGGCAAGGGCCAGCCGCAATTTAGCAATAATTCAGTTGGTCAGATAGAAATGAAGATCGAAGTGCTACAGCAAGTCTTCATAAAATTCTTCACTGTCATATTTTGTGAAAATCTGTCCAGTGGCACTTGAGTTGTTTCATGCATGTAGATGGATGGAAACATTGAATGTACTGAATAGGGGCTGTTCAGGGTTGTAAATGCTCCTAAAAAGGCACTAATAAGACACAAACTCTATAATCTGCAAAGGATAATAGGGAATATTATATTTAAGCATCCTGTTGCACTCTACACGATAAATGATACAAACTCCGTCCCAAGTGCAAAGACATATAATATATATTGTTTGCACTTGGGACGGAGTTTGTATCATTTATTGGATAATAGGGAATTTACTGTATATTAGAAGAATACCAGCATTCTTTGTTATGATATTTCAGGTGCACTATGGGTTTAACTGTGGTTCAGGAGCGGCATTGATCGTGGGTGAGAAAGCATATCATGATGGACAGTGGCACTCGGTTGTCTTTAATCGCACACACACCAATGGAAACCTGATCATTGACAGTGAGGTTGTAGGAGTGAATTCCTCGAAGGGTGCTACCAAGTCGATCAATGTTTTGTCACCATATTATGTTGGTGGAATATCACCAAATATATCCAATGAAGCAAAGTTCAACATCAAGGTGAGGTTGTTCCCCAGTTTAAATCAGATTGTTATTATCATCTGACTTACATATTGGTCGAATTTAATATACTCTTCACCCACAAAAATTTTATGAACACAACTCATTTTCCCCATTGTATGCAATGTATTCTACATGTTCCCTTCTTCAGACATCTTAACAGTAGTGGGTAAAAATGCAAATTATGAAATCCTTCTTTATGTAATTTTCTAGTTCCTCCCTTTACTTTCCATTTGGGACCCCCCCTTCATGCACCATTTATACATGTATTGAGTAATCTCTAAATATGGTAAACAGTTATTGATGTGTTAAATGTTTCTGGAAACCTATTTGAACATTGCGGACCGGTTGTTTAAATATTTAAATCACCCTGGGGACCAGGGTTTTTAAGCCTAGCACCCTAACTTGTGCACTGTTCACTTTAAAAATTAATAAAAAATCTCCTAATTAATTTTATGAACTACAATTTTTGGAGAACACTTACCAGAGCTCCTAGAAATGCTTGCGTGTGTGATATATCTGGAAACTTTCATCGGAGCTCTCACTTTCACTGGACACAATATTTTGGGGGGCCCTGTGGCCCCTGTCACTGTCACTTTCACTGAGGCTGGCCTCGCTATCAGAAGACGAAGCAGTTGGCAATTCTGATACCTCATCGGAGAACAAATCTAATATTTCTTGTTCTCTGAGAGAACGCTTCACCTGCAACTGCTTTCGTCTCTGATCCATGTTGCACTGCTACATCCTGCTACATACGTGGAAGCTTGGACTCCAACAAAGGCTTTTTTCTTTAGGGTGTGACAGGAAATGAGCGTGATCATGTTACTGGCTAAGCTAGCAAACATTCTCAAGGTCAACTACGCAGTAGTTATGATGCAATGTGGCCACACAGCGAGATATAGTCGGTTCCAACATAACGCATCAGAAAAGGGCCAATTGGCCCGCCCGGTCTGCAACACTATAGAAACGTAGAGGGCCAATTGGCCCCTCCGGTCCTGAATGTGTTAATATCAATAAATAATGATGTTTTATGTGGTACTTCCTAGTAAAATTTTTGCCAGGATTGAAGAATCAGTCTTGGAGATGTATTTTGAGGAAAGAATATGCATATTATATTCAGAAAAACTGCATATCAGTAACCCTGACCACTAATTTGCCTGTTGCCACTGGTGACTCTTACATTCTCTGGGTGCATAGGGTAGTATGTACCAAAAGTCATGAAGACATTTCACAGTAACTTGTATGCTCTATTGTTAAAATCACACAGAACTGTGGTTTATTTCTTAGAGTTGTGACAGTTTTGTGTATTTATTTGTAGAATGTAAATGGGTCTTTTATTGGCTGTCTGCGCAATGTTCAGCTAAATTCTAAGAATCTGGGTGACCTGCGGCATTCAATAGGAGTCATCCCATGTTCTAATAAGGTGGAGCCTGGAGTGTTCTTCGCACACACAGGAGGTCAAATTATAGCACGTAAGTAATGGGTGTCTCATTAGATACTGCTGTACATAGAAATTGTTCTTAATGAAAGACAATACAAGTTACAGAATTGTATAACAAACAGTGTGATACACATTACAACTATAATTCTGTGTCTGGCCATGTAGAATCCTGCACCCATAATTTTGTGGTCTGGAGAGGCACCAATGACGTGCCTCAGCACTGCTAGCTTCTGTGCAGCTGCTATCATAAATAATTGTCACCCTCTTAGATCTTCTTTTCATGTCCCACTTCTTTGTAATTCTGCATTTTTATAGAACTCAGTATGGAAGAAATTCAGGGTCACACAACTTCAAAAAGAAACCAACAAAGACTTTCAAAGAAAGAAACATCTCCAGAATATTTCACTCTTCTTCCTCTCCTCCACCTTTTCCTAGTATAATTTCAGTTTCATACAGATATCCAGTCTCTTCCCCCCACATTATTTCCTTCTCAGTTCCTTGCGATCTCTTTCCTTTCGTCTTGATGTCTCCAGCAGCTGGCCAGACTGTCTTATTCAGAGTCATCTCATAGGGTTTGCTCCTTTAAGTTTTAAACTTAATGTCCTTTTTGGTATCCTCATTCTCTCTCTCTTTTTTTTTTTTACATGGCCAAACCATGATATTAATTCCTTCTCTAATTGTATTACAAATTTTTTTGTATCCCATTTTCTCTGAAAATTTAATTCATCATTCCATCCCTTCGCTCTGAATATTTCCATATCAGTTGGTTTGGATTTTTATTTTGTTTCCTTGTGATGGTGCATGTTCTATGTGTTAATATCAGCTAAAAATATACTGCATATGAGTAAATTGTAGTTTTGCATTGTTTTGGAATCTCTGTCTTGCTCTCTGCCCTGAATGTGTTTTCAATGGTGAACATTGTGATTCATGTATTAATATTTTTGCACCTGTAAATTATCTTAGTTATTTATAGGTGCCATATCCAAACTACCACAGAAGAAGTTGGTCATTTGTAGGACTGCACTTTAACAAGGTCCACAGTTTCTTTTTTGAAAACCCTTTCAGCAAATAATTTTTTGCTCTGTCAATAGATGATGCTTGTAGATAAATTTTGCATTTTTTTTAACATAATAGATCATTTGCTATTCATTTCTTTACTGTGAAATACTGCCAAGTGCTAGTGTATTGTGAAAAATGTTGGGCTTCCAGGTAAACCAGACACAGAGGCACTTGGACCAAGTGATGACTGCCCATTGATTTTCAATTGGAGTTTTGTTACAACTGAAATCAAATTATAATAATATATTTCTCACCAGACCAGAGTTTTCACTGCTGCAACACTGCTCTTTCCTCAGATCCCAGTTTCCGGGTAGGTGTTGTGATTGACATCAAATTGGATATTCGTCCTCGAAAGACTTCTGGAATTTTACTGTCAGTGCATGGCCGGCGTGACTTCCTGCTGCTGCAGATGGTGAATGGTGTTCTAAAGTTTAGCGTTGACAATGGCAAAGGTGCCATTTCAGCAGAGTACACTCCTCCACATGAGCATTACTTTTGCGATGGTCATTGGCACACCATTCAAGGTACATCATGGGTTTCTGATAATTAACAAAATTGGTGTACAGCCATTGTACATACTTTTTCATATATGCTTGACCAATTATAACCCTCTACTGCCCTAAAATAAATATTTCAGAGAAATGATCTGTTGCAAGTAGTCCATGATAACAGCCCTTGGGTACCAGTTTGTAAATTTAGGGGAAAAACAAGTGCAGGTTTATTTGTAAGTGCAAGAAACTGACAAATTTTAATCAGAATCCTTAGTGCTGTTTTGGGGAAAAATTATGTTTTGTGATTGAGGCCATTATATTCATGTAGGACAGTTTAGCCTACAAAGTAGTATTTGGGCCTCGTGTCTCTATAGGTGATTAAAATCTAATCAGTTCAATCAAGCAGGGTTTTTTTGGAGGGGGGGGGGTTAAATTTCAGGTTTGGGCTGCTAGAGTTCATTCTGTCACTTTTCTAAAGACTCCATCTATGGAGTTTTGTCTGGGGAGATTATCTCCATAAATTATTGAAATCTGATTGTATTATATTTATTACACGTTCCAGCACATCCATACAAGGCTGAAGCCATTGGATACAGAACCTGTCACACCACAAGCTTGCTAAATCAGCAAATAGTCAACAGAACAATGCATATAAATCCACAACAATAAATCGAACATATGAACCCCCTACACATCACTGCAACTACATAACCTACCATATGTATATAAAATATAATACAAAATTTCAACATATTCATGACAGTAGATCAAATAATGGGTCATAGCTAAACAAGAAACTATCCCTAATTAAAACATTCTTCTACAGTGTAATAGTATTTAGTATGTAAAACATTGCTAAAGCGGTATTCAGTGAAATCTATTTTTGGGGGAAGGGTTCTGTGATGGGCCCCTGTTTTTGGAACCAGAATGCTCATGTTCACTAGACACTGATCTGTAACCACTTAAATACTGAATCTGATTGAACTGTGTCCAATCATTCAGGCTCTAGGAAGGTACATGCTCATACAGATAGTGTTCCAAAAACCACTTTTTCATATTTGTGGGGACTGAAAGCATATAAATCTGTCAGAATTTTGAAATATTTTTTTTTCATGATCATGCACTACATATATATGAGAAGGCAAGGAAGAAGTAACATACTTTCTGCTCAAGCCTTGTAACTGGATGTAAGTGTGGAAAGTGTTCTCTGAAGCACACGTATTTTCAAAATGTGTTCTTTGATATTTTACATACTCCACTGACCTTAATATTCATTTATTTTTTATGCATATATGTTTTGAAGCCTACTGCTATACAGGTGTCACCATCTTGCGGGCTCATTACTTTACATAGGGCCCTTAATAACGTGGTTACTATTTTGTGACAGTGAAAAGGGGCTTCTGGGTTGTATCATCAAGAAATCCAACATACTCATCAGGTTTGTAGCCAGATGTGCAGTGAAGTTTGAGTCACTTTTTAAGTTGTCTAGCCTGATTTTATTGTAACTTCAGTAGTTTCTAAATTTGTTACCCTGATTTCCTTTCATTTGTGTTATGCTCAGTTATGCCTTTGTCTTTATTTCTTTCTCCTCTTCTGAATGGCGTGATTTTCGAGAAGTGTCATATAAGTGGCTTGTCATTCAAGACTGCTCAGAATTTTAATCTTGCTCATTAAGAATATTAATATGACAGCTCTTATTTGTCCATTTTGCGTTTACTTTAAGTCGTGAAATTAAGTGTCACGCAAATTTACATTTAATGACCTTTCCGTTTTTATTTCCTGCTATACAGTACATGTTTTTTCAATTGACATAATCCTTCCAGCCGCACTATGGCCCTGGGTTGACTCAGCCTCTAACAGAAATGAGTACCAGGAATTAATTAAATAATTTTCCTGGGGAGTAAAGTGCAGCCGGCGCATAAGTCTAACAACCTTACCGCCATCTTTGAGCCGATTGTCTAGAAAATGTGGGACCCTCAATGTCTCACAACCCTATGGGCCTTCATGGCCTGTTACAGGGATAGCTTAGTACATATTTTGACTGTAAATGATCATCATAAGGTGATATGCACAAAGCAGCAAATATATGTATGTTACAAGTAACTGTCATCTGAACATCAGTCAACCTGACGATAATCCAGACTCAGTTGCCTTCCTGCCCTATGTTGGAATTATATTCAACAGAATCAGCTGAGTGCTGTACTGGCACATCAAACCAATGGGCCTGACTCCCAAGAAAGTATCTAGTTTCCTCCGGCCAGTCAAAGATAACCTGGGACTAAGGACACTGGGTGTATACAGAATCCCCTGTGAGTGTGGCAAGGTCTACAGTGGGCAGACAGGCAGCTCTGTGGACACGAGGTTGAAGGAGCATCAGCGGCACATCCATCTTGAACATCCAGACAAATCAGCTGTTGCTGAACACAGCATTGACTTGGGACACTGCATTCAGTTTCACAATACCTCCATCCTTTGCTACCAAGAACCAATACATGGATCGCCTTGTTAGGGAGGCCATTGAGATTGAGCTCCATCCCAGCAATATGAACAGGGAGGTGGGTTTTTTCTCAGAAAATCATGGAAGTCTCTCATCTGCTCCCTCAAGAAACCTCCAGACTATGACGCCAGATCTACAAGGCTACACAGGTCAGTGCACAGCCGGCAGCTTGGCCCCAAGGCTGTAGGGTCAATGCCCCCATGGTAGCACTGCCTCTTTCCCCCAACACAATTGTACTCTGGCCCTTGCCTGCTACCTGCTGGCCCATCTCCACAACAAAGTCCTTTGATGTAAGTTTGTGTGATGGTTAATTTTGTGGCTTAAAAATATGTCAGTCATTTTAATATTTGTTAAAGTCATATTCAGCCATTTTCCACGTATCCACTCTATTCCCTATATATCAATATACACATATTTCTTAAAATTTTCAGCTGTGAAGTCAAAGAATGTGGTCACATTGTCAGTGGACAAGACATCTGTGGAACCAGGAATCGGGATCCCTGGTTCATCATCAACTGACACTCGTGACTCCCTCATCATAGGTGACTTCAACCGGACTCTGCATCAACGTCGTCTTCGTGGACTACAGACAAGAGAGTTCTATGTTGGTTGTATTCGCAATGTCTTTATCAATGAAGAAGAACAGAAGCTTGATGCTTCCCAAGTACGTGGTAATGTAATGGTTAGTGTATGCCCAACCACATAAATATTACCGTAGCAAGGGTTGCCAAGATAATCATCTGTTTCACATCTGGTGCTTTATTATACGGCTTCTTATCATACAAAACTATGAGTTGATTCCCTTTGGATAAAGGATTTAATGTGTTTAAAGTCAGTTAGACCTCAAAGTCAAGGAGCTGCAGTCTGTAGTTATAATGACTGACACTGGGATTTTTAAATAAGTTAAGATGGTAGTTGTCTGAGTTCTGACATTGTGTGGACTTGTAAGCTAACTGTCTATGAAAGTACACAATGTCATAACACAAGAGATTAGTTTCCATCACAGTTGCTGGCTTTTTGGGCTTCATCCGTCATCCTTTATTTTAAATACTAGGGAACACAGTGTGTCAGTAATTGGATATGTGTCTGTCCTCAGGTGAGAAGGGGACACCTACTCTGTTAGGCCCCTTACAAAGAGCTAACCCAGATCCAGAGCCCAGTGACTGAGGTTAGCTCTCTGCAAGGGACCCAACAGAGTAGGTGTCTCCCCATTCACCTGAGGACGAAAACAAATCCAGTTTCTGAAATGTTATGTTCTCTAGTTTTTGAACATTGTACAGTGGACAAAGTCCAAAAGCCTGATAGTTCTGTGTGTTATACATCATCATTAGAACCCAATAGAATCTGCTTAATTTCCACTGATGTCAAAACCTTAAATTCTGTCTACAAAAATGAATGACTCCATTAAATGTGTGTTTAAAATCAACGCTCATTTTGTTTAACCAAAGTTTATACTATGAACTGTAGAGGTTTTGTGGAAGTTGGTTGTTGTCTTGGAAGAAATATAAAATAATTTGGTGACCAGTTATGATGCAATTTGTCATTGGCCATAGGAGACAGTGTGCATTTGAGTGGTAATTGTTGTCATTGGTAAGGAAAGTGTTAGATAGTATTAGGTTTTATTGAACAGAAACAACTGCCCTTTAAAGAATAAGCAGTTTAAGAGCGTTGCCTTTTCATTTTTCCTTCTGTTTTCATGCTGCATTTCAACCAGTTTGCTGTCAGGTCTGTCAGTAATATGGTCATTTAATAATTAAACATATAGTAATATTGAAAACTTGATTTTATGGCAAGAATAGCAGACATTTTGTCTCAAATTATATAAAAATTGAGTTCTGTTAAAATTCTGAACAAACTTGGAACCAGATATTCACACATTTATGGCAACCCTGGGCACAGATTACCATTTTAAGTCGCTTCAATACAATACACAGTGCTGAACATTTCATTGTCTGTTTTTGTATTTGTAGATTGTGGTAATATAAACGTCTTTTAAGTATCTGCTTTTTTTATTGTTGATTGTGTTATAATTTCCCAAGTGACATCATCATCATCATTTTCATTGCAGTGACCTCCTATTGTAATTGTGTTTATCATTTGCAAAGCCATTTCTCTTATTTTCTCGCTTTTCAAACTTTCTTCTGTCTTCAACCTGTGCCTTCACCTTGTATCTGTTATCATGTGGTGATGTAATCATGTTTTTGGTCTTAATGTGGTTTGAAGAGTTCTGTCTTCTGGGATATAGGGTCATGTAGTCCATTAAAAGTCAACCAGTGTCTCATAGGAACATGTTGCCTCCATCTTCAGGGTTGAAGAATAGGCCAAGCAAGAAATGAGCATAAAAACAGGTGCTCTGCACGCTACCTGCCTTCATGCTGATGATATGTTCCTCTGAAATATCAGTTGACTTTCAACATACTACACAACATTATATACCAAATGTTGGAATTTTTCATAATCATCATTGTGAGAACCTCAAATGCTATTTTATATGGTTTGTTTTAAGTTTGTTTACACTCAGAGCTGTGCTTATATTCTGTCATCTTCTTCTCCTAGAATTGATTCTGTTTTATATGGGCCAGTAGATGAAAAGTCTGCATCCTCTTACTTCTCCCCTACAATCTTTCCTTTTTTATTTCTTGCCTGCCCTTTCCTCTGTTCTTTCTGTCCTCCAGAACTATCTTGCTGTGGACTCAACCATAGGTCTCTCTCACTGAAATTACAATTATATTGCCATTCCCAGTATCCTTGTTCTATTTATTAATTTTATGTGCCAGATCATTGTAATGCAAGTAGACAGGCGTCATATGTATTCACATAGCCTTGCTAAACACTTTTATCTCAATATTTGCGTATCTGGTTTATGTACATGGGTAATGACTGTACAGTGTGATGGTATGATTTAGTGATGCCCAGAAAACCTGGCTATTTCAATATAAGGTGTAGATTCTAAAGGGTCTGGTACTGAAATCTGCGGTTGCAGGTCACGTGTCACAGTCTGACTGGAAATATAAATATTGATGCTAGGCCTCTAGTCACTGAACTTTGATGACAGAGCTTGGTCATCTCAATTGTCAGCATACTAGCAAAGCCAAATACAGTGTCATCATACAAGAATAGTGATTAGCTATAAAGCACTGTGGAAGCAAAGAGGCTCTGATTTCTGCAGTATTTTCTCTGAACACCTAACTCCAGTCTGCCTCTTAGGGCCTACTTCCTTATTATGTCCCTCCGAGTTGTTTTTTTACTGTGCTCTGACTTCACATACTGCATTCTGATGTCCCTATTGGCCCTTGTCAGTGTTTCATCCCATACATTAACAACAGTTTTCATACAAAATGTATTCTTTATATGACCTGTCAAAACATGAATGATAGGACCTAACTGTGTAGTACAGGTGATATGTTGCTTTAAACATAATTGTAACAGAGTTTTATTATTGTATGCTTTGAATACATTTTTATACCAGTCATATTTTATTTATTTTGTGTTGATTTTTTTTGCACATTACTTCTCAAACTTTTGTCTGCCTCATAACATGTATGTTTGAAACTGTAGCAGGGTGATTTCCTTCTGCAGTAAATGGAAATTCGCTTGTATTTCCATCAAAAAGGGGGACCTTGTGATAACAGGTCAAGAGGAAGTTTCAGCCTGCAATCTTTGGTCAAATGTGACCACTCTTCACCTCTGCTATATTATTACCTTTTGGAATAAGTACAATTCAAGGTTCCAGGAAAGTTTCATCTGTGTGACCCTCTGCTGACTATCTTTGTCACAATCATCCTATTATTGGCAGTAGGCCATGCTATAGTTTGAGCAGTTAAGTCACCAGCTTCCCACTGCAGCTGCCCAGTTTCAATACCAGGTCAGGTCATGTGGTATTTTCAGTGGACATTCCACCAAATGCTCCATTTTCATCTGTCATCTGAGGCTGGTACGATAGGCCAAATAGTGACTGACATACCAAGTAGACTCAGTCTCACCCCACCCCAAGAAACCAAAAGAAGAGGAAGAAAAAAAGAATTTGGCAATAGCAAAATCTGCATTATAGTTACTCTCCCCTCAATAATTGGTATTTTGAGGCTTTCAGAAAGTGCAGGCCAGGAAAGTCAAGAAGCTCATAAGTGGATGGGGTTTCCACACACACTTCCTACTCAGGTGGGCTGCTGGGGTTGTGGGATGTAATTCATATGCGGTTTCATCCCCTGGTTATTTGCCTGAGGTATTTTGAATTTTTCTTGTATGTTCATATTTCGTGTACTTTTTTCAGTTGCTATGATGAACCCAGTGCAAGAAATATAAGAAGCATAAAATTCCCCGTCTTTTCTTCTTATTTTATTTATGTGTGGTTTATTTAATGATGCTGTCAGTATCTCAGGCTACACAGTGCAGAATGATAGGTTGATCAGTAAATACTTAGTTGGAAAAGATGTGAAAGACAGTGATTGTGGCCTAATTATAGGTACTATCCTACCATTTGCCTGGAGATATTGAGGAGAACTTTGAAAATCCTCATTTGAGATTGTCAGTAACCTGGCTGATGGGCAGGCACCTTATGAATACAAGCTACAAGTGTTGCCACACGAACCAACTTGCTTGGTCTCTGTTCTTTCATGAAGTGACCAGGAAAATATTTTAACCTGTGGAAGATGAAGTAACTGAGCTAAGGAATTTTATAACCTGTACAGTTCACTTAATGTTATTAGGATAGTGAAATCAAGGAGGGTACAACATGCAAAGTGTTTTATCTGGATGGAAGATGCATGGAACATAAGAATTCTGGAATTTTTCTGGAAACTTATGCAAAGGTGGACTTTGGTATTAGTGATGTTAAAGTGTGAAGTTCTGTTGTCAGTGCTAGTTCCTTAGCTAAATTTTATCGCGTACGTTAGCATTTAGACAGCATACTACAGCGACAGTTGCTGGTCAGTAAAACTATTTATATGGGTAAATTCTTCAGTACAGAGTATTTATAGATAAGGTTTGCTTCTAGAAGTCCCACAGTTACATTTGTTAGGAGTTTTCACTTAAGTTTTTCTCTATTGCATGGTTGAAATAACATCCTTAAACATTTTCACAACAGCAATGAAATTGCTTTGCACTGACTGACATATTAAAGTAGATGATCAGACTGATGTTAGATTCAGACAACTGTCAGTCTGATTGTAATCTGTGTTGGACCGAAGTTCCAGAAGAAGGTTGTCTGCATGCACTGAAGCTGTGAATGCTGTGGACACTTAATGTAAGTACATTCAGATTAATGTTCTTGAATTCATAAATTTTGTGTGTCATCAGAATTGACTCTAGAATTAAAGTGAATATTTGCATCATTACTGGATTTGGAGTAATTGTGAAGTTCCGCTTTGACATTTATGCTTATATCATCATTGGTCTGTGGGTTAGTTCAGGCTTTATTAGGATTGGTTCCCAGGCCTCCCTGGGAAGAATGTTTGCTTAGGTAGGTTATGTTACTAAGTTAGATTAAGTCCAGTTATAAATTTTGTGCATCTGTCTATACATAAACTTCCAACTGTTTGTGCCCCATTCAGGAATATGAATCTATGGTTCTTGGTTATCTATGGTAAATGTTTCCCATATGGAAGGACTAAAACTGAATAGACAAAAATATCAATATATAAAGAGGAACAGCTCTTCTAGTTGCTGAGAAGCATGCCAATCTTGAAGAAAATTGTCATTAAAATATAGGACAAAAGAATAGCATAAACATCACTAATAGACGTTTCTAAAAATGCGGCAAAAGTCAGACATTTGGGAATTACACAAATCAAGATGGTACTCAATGATCATAAGAATATTTTAAAACTCTGGTATGGTTTGGTTAAGACACTCTCGTTTTCCAATTTCTTTACCTAAAAACGTAAAAACTGAAATTGGAAGTTATAATTTTGTCTGCTGTGTTCTATAGGTATGAAACATGATACATTAAGGGAGGAACATGGACTGAAGGTGTTTGTGAGCATGGTGCTCAGGAGAATATTTGGAGTTAGGGGGAAAGAAAGGCCGCGCCATAGCTCAAGCAGTTAGTCGCTGGCTTCTCACCATGGCAGCCCGGGTTCGATCCCGGGTCTGGTCAAATTGGATTTGTGGTGGACAGAGTGACGCTGGGGTAGGTTTTCTCCGAGTACTTCGGTTTCCCCTGCCAATCTTCATTCCACCAATTGCTCCAAAATCCCCCTCACCAATCATCTGGGGCTGGTACAATAGGCCAGAATTGGCCGCAGAACAAGGAACTTAGTAGTTACTATAGGATTCTGACGATGGTGTATAACACATTGATATATTGGGTTTTTGGACTTTATCCATCGTCCTGGTTTTTAAGATAACAAATAAAAACACGACGTTTCGGAAACTGGATCTGTTTCCGTCCTCAGGTGAAGGAAAACACCTATCAGTTGGGTCCGTTAGAATCACTTATCTTAAAAACCAGGACGATGGATAAAGTCCAAAAACCCAATATATCAAGGAACTTAGTCCCACCCCACTAGCAATAAAAAGAAATAGGGGAGGAAGAAAGAGGAGCCTGGAGAAAACTGCATGGGAATAATCCAGAGCTTCATGCCATGCCAATAAATAATTTAAGGAGGACCAAATCAAGATAACGAGATAGGCATGGCATGTAGGATGCAGTGGGAGATGAGTGGCACCAAAATTTGACAGGAAGACCTAAGGATAATATGAATTTAAATGAACTGGATGGGTGTGCGTGGACTGAATTCGTGTGGCTTAGATGCTAAAAGATGATAGGCTCTCTTTAACAAGGCAACGAATATTCGTTTTGTCAACGTTCGGGGGAAATTCTTGACAAGCTCAAAAACAACGGACTAAGCTCCTTTCAGCTAGTTAATCGGTTCCCTTCGAGACGCTTCGAGAGTCTGTGGTATGAGGGAGGCATTCGCGCATCTGTCACAACCCAATGTTCATACTAAAAGATTAAAAATACGGTTAGTGGGCATATGCCTGTATCGTTTGCACGGATTCTGTCGTACCTGGCTGACCACACCGGACCTGACGGCCATTGTAGTCACTCTCGGACTCAGCTCAAGCATCGGCTTCCTCTTTAGCTTAATAAAGTAAACTGTACTAGTCTCTAAAATCCAGACAAATTATTATCACGATGAAAATGTAGACATTTTGATAAAGTCAATCACATAACCTGCACTGTTGTGGCCAATCGCAAAGCCTGCACTCTCGTGGCAGAATGTGTATGCCTATTTGTATGACCCACGGATCACTACCGATAACAACGATACGTTACTCACCGTGGTCACCATGCCTACTAGTACTAGCAACCCTGGTTTGAGCGGTATTGGTGTACTTGGTGTATATGGTTGTGATAAATGACAATGAAACTGTAACATTTTAAATTAGGTATGGAATATTAATTGTGGGTAACCATTTCGTAGCCAGGCGTGTTGACGGTAATATGTAAGAAGCGAGAAATCATATTTCTCTCCGTCTTTCATTGTGTAGTGTGTTGTGGAAGAACATTCTGTTTTAAGTTGTCAATCAAGACCAATCAAGAGGTGAAGTTATTTGGCGTCATGTAATTGTTATTTCAATATTCTGATTTTATTCCCTATTCCTCTGTGGCGCCTGGGATTCTTCAGGTTGTGTTAAGAATTCGCTATAGAATCAAGTCAGTGTTTTGTGACTGATTGTATGCCATATTAGTAATATCACTACAGATTCTGAGAAACAGAAGTACTAATCATTAGAGATTGTCAGTTTAAACTTGAAATGGTTAAACATGCCAGTTTTGTTTACTGTGAATGACACCAAGGGAGATTCAATTCATAAAATCATGCATATAAGTGGATCTTTCCAATAGTTATGAATTTAGTTTTCATCGCGATGAAAGTATAGTATTGCAAATGTAGTTTAATGTGTAACTTACAGTTACTGGGTTTACATTTACATATATTTCACTTCATGGATCCAATCACTTCCCCCATAGGGCTGGATATAAAACATGTCACACATTACAAATTCATGAAGACTACACATCATACATCCTTGGTCCAATAAAGTATATAATCAGGCCTCATGCAGACAGCACAAGTTGTCAAGACAACACACACAGGCCATGGAAAAACCACTGTCACATTCGACCCTGAACAAAATCCCTCATATTTCCAACTATGATAACTCTGTGCTGCACAATTGCACATCTCGCCATTCCACACCTATTGGCCAGCCATATCATCAGTACAGTTTCATTGTAACATATTAAAATTCATAACAAACACAGGCACCATACATACAACAAGCAAGTCTCAACAACATATATTACAAGCACACAGACCATTTATTAACTCTTTTTAACATTTGAGCTCCTTGCATGCTCGACAAATTCGTCAGTAGAGTAAAATGAGTTACTTTGCAAATAATTTCATAAAACAAACCTGAATTGATTTTTATCGGTTTTTAAAGCTGAGATATTTGACAGCAGATTGTTAAATAGCTTGATGCCTGAATAATACACTCCTCTCTGATAGGATGGTAATCGTGTTGAAGGTAATGTTATATTTTAGCGTCCTGTTGCACTGATTTAAGTCCATGATTTATTTCAACCGTCTTCCAGTGCATACACTCATCTATCTCACTCCTCTCTGTCTCGAACTACATGTTTCGGCACAAAAGTGCCATCCTCAGGTGCTTATTCGATTTACGTCAAACTAGTTCACTGCATGCCTTGCCGTCTTCATATTAAAATAACTAAAATATATATTTATCATATATATTGATAAATATTAAATGTTAAAAATATTAAAATTGTTCAGGATTTTTCATCCCTACGTCGTATCTCACTTCGCAAGTCACCCCTATCCTCTTCTGTCGGAGCACTCTTTCACTATCGTGTGTGTATTGTGCTTTGTGTTGTGTCTTGCTCCTGTGACTGCGTGTGTTATACTGATATTCTCTGAGGAGAAGACAGGTCTGTCATTCACAGTTGCTGCTACCTTCACCAGCGCAGTCATTCTCAGGTCAGGGTTCTGTGGGACTTGTGACCATATTTTGCTGTCTCATATTTGAGACTCCTACAACCTGGAGGGCCAGCTCCCTATATTTATATCTTCCAGGAACAGTGTGGCCCAGTTATACCCCCAGGCACTGGGTCCCCCTTTCATCACCTTGTATGGCTCACGGGGCTATGGTGGAGGTATTCGAACCTGCCTCCACACAGGCTGCTATGGTAGCGGTAGCATAGTTGGTTAAGGGGCTATGCTACAAGCTGGAAGGTTGTGGGTTCAAGTCCCAATGACATCATTGGAATTTTTCAATTGACCTAATCCTTCCAGCTGCACTATGGCCCTGGGGTTCACTCAGCCTCTAACAAAAATGAGTACCAGGAATTAATTAAATAATTTTCCTGGGGAGTAAAGCGCAGCTGGCATGTAAGGCTGACAACCGTACTGCCATCTTTGAGCCAATTGTCTAAATAATGTGGGACCCTCAACATCTCACAACCCCGTGGGCCTTCACGGCCTGTTACAGGGATAGCTTTACTTTACTTTTACTGGAGAAATATTACAGTATACATAAATAGAAGGAAAGCAGTTATTTTACATTTTTTTTAAGAAGAGTCTCAAGAAACTGGTCACTGTATTGTAAAGATGTACTGGTATTTCAGATTTGTTATGGCAAGGAAATCTCTTTATGTTTGTTAAGGACATTGTTGATACAGTGAAATCATAACAATGCTGCTTGAGAACATGGTAACACAGTACACAGGTACACACATTGCACGTGCAGGTTGCAAGCAGTACTAGTTCTGGCAATAGTCTCTCTGTCATCAGCTTTCATTATTTTCATGAAAATGCATAGAAGATCTCAAAACCCGTATTTTATTCTTCATTATTGGGCATTAAGTTGCTTTGAAAGTGGCCAGGAAGAGGAATATTGTATATGAATGCATTTTGCATGTATTGAATAATTTAATGAAGTAGGTGAATGCGATATTGCAGCAATTAGTGTAGATATTTGAAATCTGTTATGCTGTGGGCTGTAGGTGATCACCAGAACAGGCATTCATGATGCAGCGACGTGGAGGGAAGAGGATTCGGATGGATGAGCCTCCACCACCAGAGTATGAGTCACCTATGACTCCAATGACACCATTGGATGGAAGTGGAACGGAACTGCAGGAGCCATACACACCATATACCCCCTACAGCAATCAGCCTGCCACCCCAATGCATACTGGGTATGTTGAAGGCTATTTTCCTGATTTTCCATTTCTTGTTCTTGTTTTAATTATTTTGTAAGGAAAAGTATGAGGGTTATTCAAGTGAAACCTGTTCATGTCTCCATATCTGCTAGCATCATTGCAGATGGGTTTCATTTGAATAACCCTCATATATTTATGGTGTCTTCAGTGAATCTGTTTATCACTCCATATAACCATCTGATATATTTTCATTATTCCTTTTTTTTTTCCTGTGGCGCTACAGCCCCAATTTGGGCCTAGGTCTGCTTCCATGAAACTCTCCATTTCACTTCAGTTTACTAGATCTTACACGTACGGTAGGACTCCTTGGGCGAGTGATCAGCTCGTCGCAAGGCCTCTACCTGTAGACAAACACAGAAAAATGCACACAAACATCCATGCCCTGAGTGGAATTCGAACCCCAGATCCCGGCTTCCGAGTGAGCGAAGACAGTGCACGCCTTAGACCGCTTGGCTACCGTAACCGGCATTTTCATTATACATGGTAGGAATACATACTGTCACATGTTGGGAATGTAATGCGACAAATAACTTCACGCCATCTTGGATATAGCAAATTTATTCCACACTCACTCTCACACTCACACAATTCACAATTACAATTACTGCCATTGGCAGTATCACAATTACATCCACTGCCCTCGGTGACTGCTAGACTTCTGCTGCACTTGGCGACTTCACAATCCGCACTGTGTCACTCCTGATCACACACTCTCTCACATACTGCTCAGCCGGCTTTTTATACCATTCCCTGTTGCCTCGTTTTACCAGTGGTGTCCCATATTACGTCACGGTGGGAAGTGCTGTTACGTCACTGCGGGGGAGGGCGGCAGAGTGTTAACTGGCCTGTTACTGTAGCAGCTGCAGCGCTCTAATTCTGTTACATCACCGCTGGCAGGGGAGGGAGTGTCCTGCATTGCACAAATACATCACAATACATACATTACATTCCGTAAATCCAAAGTAAGTCAGAATAACTGTATGATGTGGAACAAGTCATACAAATACAAAAGCCATAAATACAGTACAGCTGAGACACAAAAAATACATCCACACATATATATGTCAATACTGTCAACTTGTGCTATGTACATCACCTTTTAAAGGATGGGTCATTTTTAGACAGTAGGAATTCATCAACAGAGTAGAATGAGTGTGTATTTAAGTATCGTTTCAGTACTGATTTAATTGCGCCTTTTCATTCTTTAGACTTCTGAGAGTAGGTGGTAGATTGTTGGAAATTTTAATGCCAGAATAATATGCGCTTTTCTGAAAACATGTCACGTTAGGAACCGGTCTATGGAGATGGTGCTTATTTCTCGTGTTAACACTGTGTACATCCAAATTGGTCTGAAAACGGTCTTGGTTATTTATAATGAAGCTTAATAATGAAAATATATATTCACATGTAAGAGGTAAGATCTGTAATCTCTTAAATACCTCTCTACAAGAATTTTGATGTTTTACACCCAGCATGATTTTAACAATTTTCTTTTGTAATGTAAATACCTTTTTGCTGTCAGATGAGTTACCCCAAAATATTATTCCATACTTCATTATAGAGTGAAAGTAGGCAAAATAAAGTTTTTCAGTGTATCAGTGTTGCTGACATGTAACAAAGCTCTTACTGCATAACATGCCCCACTTAACTTCGGAACCAACTGATCAATATGGTATTTCCAGTTTAAGTGGTTATCAATTTGTAAGCCAAGGGATTTTGTGTGTACTGACTCTTCTATATATTTATTATTATATCCAATGCTTAATGGATATTGTGGTGTATTATTTGTTATAAATTTGATTATATATAATGCCACTGGAGGTCAGTCCCCTTCTGTACTTTTGAATTTAATGCCATCAATTATGCTAAAAAGAAGGCAGAAGAAGGCTGAGCTATACTCTTATTGCTTAATGTGTAGTCTTGAAGTTTATGGTAATATGACAGTCAAAAGTATGTGACTTGTTATTCTTCTGACAGCATATCAGTAACATCATGAATATGCAAAACCTACATTTAACCTGTTGCCGTGGTTCGTCGTGTATGTTTCGTCAGGGATTTAAATCGTCTGGGGGGGTTCGACGTGTATGTTTCGTTCAGCTGCACACCTATGTTATAAC